CTCAAAACTCTTTTTTTTTACTGAGGAAAAAAAAGTACATTTTGCAATGTCTCAGTTATAAGCGTAGTTCAACTTAAAGTGACATCAGTGTGACTTCCATTGTTGCAGATTAGATGACAAGTAACTTATATTAGGGATATAAGATGTTAGTTTAAGCAGAACTGTTAATTTTTCTTTGCTAGTTATTTATTGTTAGCTTGTTAATTTTTTTTTAATTTTAATTTAATCGTTAATATGCTTCATAGTGAACTTTGTGATCGATGCCCAAAATATTGAATAACGTGCCATAAATGGCACGCGTGCCATTGGTTCGCCATCCCTGGTCTAGGTGATGAGTGCGTTGAACATTGTGGACTGTCTTAAGATTTTTAATGTTAAGTGTTATTTAAATAGAACTAATTGTAATAAATATGTATACATTTTAAAGTATTGAAATGCGAAATATTTTTTTTTAATATTTAAGTTACAATTATTTTTCACTGTGGAGTTAGTTCAATGCATTTAATAAAATGGGATGCGTCGATTTAAACCAGAATTTTATAAGGTAAGTAAATGTTAATATTTAAGTAATTAGTTCAGTCTAATGCTCTAATTTCCAAAGAGAAATATTTTAGAATTATGTTTAGAAATCTGCCCTTTAAACTCACATAAGTAAATTTTTTACGTAATATTACTTAAAGTAGTAAGTTTTAAAAGCTAATTTTAATATACTACTTATGCAAAATATAATTGTAGAATTTTGCTGCAATTTAACTTATGGGTAACCTTTTTTATTAATAAACATCAAAGACACCAGTTACACGGTAAAAAATTCCGGTACTCAGGCATTTGTACCGTACAAATTTAAGGAACAAAAATCTGATGTACTGTAACTTTTAGAGTAACATTTACTGAATCACTGTAATAAAATAAATATTAATAAGGCAATTACGGAATTAAATCTTACAATAAAGTGGATTTTATGGATGATGCACTCTGAGTGCCAATACATCTTATCGTAATTTCATCCGGGATTTTTTGCAGTGTTTTAGATAAGTTATTTTAACGAAAAAAATTATTTTGTTCTCAATTATAGGTTTTATTTGTTTCTATAATAACGATATAATAATATACAAAAGAATAATAAAGAAAAAAATTATTAATGATAACTACGGATGAGAGGAAAAAAACCCGACTCAAGTCAGGTGCGTAACTTTAATATCTAAAGGGAGTTTTGACAAGCAGCTTCATAATTGTCCAGATAAGGGTTGCGGAAAAATTATTGCGGAATAAATCTGACTTGACGATTTCTTACTAATTTCGCTTTTTTACACCATCTCAAAATCGTGTCAAAATTGTTTCTAGCTATAGTTGTTTTCTTTATTATTATTATTACAATCATTCTATTTTATTTTATAACAGTTTTTGTACAGCTAACCCAATTTTTTGGGTTTACGACCACTAATGCTCAACCCCGTAACCTTGTAATTTTAAACCCAATCCAGAAAACAAGGGAATTCCTAGATCAAGTAATGGGAGAAATTTACCTTAGTGGAGGACTTTTTGATGGAACTAACCAGCATTTGCGTTACATGGAAATGAAAACTACGAAAACATTCAACTGTTAGCCTCACGGCAAAGGGGCTCTAACCCATGATCCGTCTATCAGGATATTTTACGTCAGCATTTTGATTGGTGCAAGCCGGACGCGGAATTCGTATCGACCAGCCATTGTTAGGATTCGAACTCGGTTCACCTCATAGAAAGGGATCTATTATTGTAATCATTCTATAACAATCGTTGAACAGCCAACCCAATTTCGGGTTTACGACTACAAATGTTCAACTCCGTAACCTTGTAATTTTGAACCCAATCCAGAAGACAAGAGAACTCCTGTATTGGAAGAAATATATGTAATAGATTAAGAATTTTAAACACAAGAAAGAAGTTGAGATTTTTAAACTCAGAAAAAAAAAGAGTATACAAATCAATTATTTTGAAATTCCGCTGAATAAACATTCCTATTGTAGATGTACTTTAGGTTAATTCATAAAAGAAACTTTTGTTTCGCTTCCTTTTAGTAAATTTTGGCTTTCAGCTAATCACTAACTGTTACCCGTATATTATAACTAATTTTGATATAAAAATTCTACTTTTATTTGTCTCACGTTACCCATTCCTATATATGCTTATAACTCTTGAATAAAATTATGTATTTTATCTATATCTGTGTTATTACTTTTAGCGTTTAACGAAAGCAGGAAATTGGCATAAGCGGGAAGAAACTGTGGTTGAATTTGTAGACAATGATTTACTTGATCTGAATTTTATATCAGAGGAGCCAGTGAGTAAACTTTTAATTTTCTTAAAAATGGTTGCTATAACGCAAAATCAAGTTATGTATATTAAAATAATTCTTAATAAAAAACTTTAATAAATAACTGTTGTGTTTTTAATTTTTTAGACTAAGATATTTTTAGCTATTCGATCAAAAAGTGCTCCTCTGTTGGAAAGCTTTGCCCGTTTCATCAACGCTTTCTCTTCGTTTGTCTTAGGTAATGTATTTTGTTCTCTGTGAAAAATACCATGTTTTAAAAACTGATATATTTTTTTTAATAGTTTAAAAATGTGTACGTTTTTCTTTTTATAACCTTGTTAAGAAAAAGGTTAATTCATATTTAATGTTCAAAAATGCTTATCAATATATATTATCAGGTATTTAAAAAAAAAATAACCGACGATTTAAATCAATTAAAGAAAACGGAGGAAGATAGAGTACGGTTTACTACATTATGTACTAGGTTACTACGCTACGTACTAGGTTACAAAAGAATTTATTCTCATTGAGATTCAAAATAAGCAATAACATTCGTCAATAGATTGTGCTTCTAGCTGAAAAGTGTAAAGCAATGTTTACAAACTAACTCCTATTTTCAGCAAGAATGTGGTGTAGTCTAGGGACATGAAGTCCGAGCAAATGTTTCAGTTGGAATGGTCTGAAATGCAATTGAAAATATTGCGTTATAGTTTTTTCTGTCAGTTGAGTTATCTCTTTTCAGAACATAATACACCAGTTAGTACATTCTATTGTCTACATACTATTGTACATTCTATTTCTCTGGTTTTCCAATCATCCATCTCACAATTGTTCCCAATCGATCATCGAAGTCAAGCATCTCTGGTTGCGGTCAGTGAGCGGGTGGGTGACCAATTTTATCTGCTAGCGAAGGGACCAGGGTCTTGCGGTATTGGTCCCTTTTCTGCCGTCAAAGCAGGGGAGCCTTCCCCTCTGTAGAGGATCAAAGTTGTGATGGCTTGTCTTTGGATCATCCTCAGGGATGTTTCTCGGACCATCGCAATAGTCCATTGTGCAGCTCTAGCACGACGTTAATAAAGTACTTTATTACTACTTCAAATGAGTGATTATTTTTGTGTTATTTTACAGTGTAATCCATAAAATGACTATGTATGTCCTATATTAAATTTTCTCAGTAATTACGTAAAATTAAAGCAAGTAATTATGATGTTTCACTGTCTGATACATTTAGGAAGGCAATATCTTTCATCCAATTGCAAGCTGCTGGAATTACTTGTAGAACATTTACTTACCAATGAAGCTAAAGAAGATATTGTGTTAGACATGATTCTCGGAACTTTGAAGAAGTTAAGCATTAGGTAAAATAATACTTTTAGTTAGTGTAAGGTTGATTAAAAACCGCACGATTTAAGAGTTAAAAGCTGCTACAATTTTAATAATTTATATTTTTGTCAAATATAAGTTGGAGAGTTTTCATCCTACCGCTCTAAAAGGGTTAAAATATATATTTAATAAAGTTTACTGATTATATTATTATGTTGTTAGTTTCACTGTACAATATATGCATTTAAAGAAGATGAAATGAGTATATTTTTGTTGTTTTGTGGCTCTTTTATCAAATAAAATTTACATTTTATCTTCTGTTGAGTTTTTTAGTGTCTTGTTTTTAATGTGTATTTTAAAGTAAATGTGTATCCCGGCATTTTTTTTTCTTTTATTCTTAGTTTGTTATTTGTCAATAGAGGACCACAAGGTTCAATAGCAAAGAGCCGCGAAGCGGTTAGTCAGTGAAAGCGAACAAACTGGCGACCGAAGATAGCTGGTTATAAATAAAAAAAAGGATATTTTTGGATGTATAGCAAATTATTCTTCTATAGTAATAAATAATAACTTACGCAAAAAACAAAAACTTGCTTTAATGATTGCAAGGATTAATTTTTCTATAAATTAACGGTGACGATAGCTTTAAATAGTCACAGGATAGTCCACCTTATAATCACCAATTCTATGGGGGAAGTACGAACTTTTGTCACAAATATTTCAGAGAACTGTAAATTGATTTTGAAATATAATGCTTAGCAAAATTTTGTAATCTGTGAATTTATTTTTATTAAAGGATATTTTTAATTATGTTGCAGATTTTGATCCGAATTTTTTTTAAATAGCATTATCGAATTAATGAAACCACATATTACAAGTATTTAATCTTCTACAGTGTGAAATAAAATATATCTAACATTAAAAGCTGATCAGAATTTTCTGAGATGATAGAAATTCGTATTTTTTAAGCCATACTCACTCTTGCTCATTACAATTAAAAAAAAAATCGATCACATGACATACAATTTCCGCGTAATTTATTTATTTTTTTAAACGTAAATTGGCTCCAATATAATACTCTAAAACCAATATTCGACCACCTAAAAAAAAGAGGGTATAAGATGCAGTTGTATATCTAAAAATATATAAAGATTAAAACATTTACTATATTTTGCAACTTGCAAGCAAGTACGGTAACATGCACAAGTTTTCTCAAATAAAATAATTTATTGTGTTACAAAAGACATGGTAGCAGTTCTTATTTGTATAAAAAAGATAATTCCTCAAATGATATCACTCATGAATATGTAACACATAAAAATATGTTATAGGCTAAATAAATTGATATTAATGGTGATAAAAGTCAATTTTGATAATTATATCCTTAATAATATATAGATATATACACTAAGAATAATAATAAAATAGAAAAACCTTTTAATGGGGAAACGTAAAGGTCTACATCAGGACACACCCTTTACGAAAAATGCGATATTTCTAAATAAAAAATAATTATCCTATAAAAATTTACATAATATATATATTTAATATATATTTTTTATTGAATATAAACAGAAGAACTTCTCAAGCATATATGGTTGAAGGTGGGGTGATTGAATGGCTTGCTGGTACATTTCACTCAAAAGCAGTCATATCAGATTATGCGATGTATTCATCTATCGCCTTACTTTTCAACCTCAGTTTATGTCCCATGGGTAAGTAAAAATGATTTTTCCTTGCATTAGTATAGAATATAATCGCATGGAAGAAAATATTTTTTTTAGACATATGCTTCTGGAATTCACATCAATTTAATATTTTTAGGTAAAAAACGATGTGAACCATTGAAAGTTGAACTTATCTCTGGTTTGGGTGGATTACTACAACTTCAAGACCAAAAAGTAATTATTATAATTTTTATTTCTTTTCGTACATATGTTCAGTAAGCGTAGCTTAACTCCGTCCCGCACCTTTGGAGCATCCAGGGAATACTGAAGTCTCACAGTGTGCGTCAGTGTCTACTCAATACAATACATAGGTTAGGTTATGCAGTACATATGTTAGGTAATTTGGAATATATAGTTCTAAACATTTACCCGTTCTTCTTACGCAGTGAAAAAAAAGCTAATGATCAAAAAACGATATCAATCAGTACTACGAAATCATACATAAAACTGAAAGACATATACCGACTCAATTAACCCTTTAACGCAGAACATATTTTTTACACTTTCATTATTATTTTGTATTAATTTAGGTCAAAATAAATGAAAAATACTGTATTTAGCATTTTAATAATTTATGGCTACAGTTTAAAACACTGGTGATTTTTTCTGTGTTAAAGGTAAAATCTTACAAACACAGCTCACTTCCAAATAATAATTTTTCAAATTTGCACTTATTTAGATTTAAGAGAAACAGTTATTCATTATTGAAATTTCTTTAATTTACAAAATTAATAAATTTTTTAATATGAATGAAAAAATGAAAGGAATGAAAACTACAGTTTTTTGGATTTTACATTTTAATAGAAATATAATTCCGATAATCTGGCAGACTTTTTTTCAGTAACTATTAGGCATTTTTTTATTAATAAAAAGCACCACTAGATTTTTGCTTGTAATTAGAGCGTCAGAAAAAAAATATATATAAAAGTATCACTGGTGACCCATCTGGGTTAAAGAATTAATTAAGTGATAACAGTTTCATTTTTTTATTTATTATTATACACTACCCTTCTTGATGGATTTATGTTATCAGATTAAGCGAAACACGCTTTTAGAAGTTCTCATAGAAAAAGAAAGAATAATTTGTATTCAGTATCATTTGGTTAAATGCTATTGCTCGTCGTCAACTCTTAATGGTCAGAAATTACCATAATCAACAATTTTCACTGGTATTTATACCTTTTCGTGGGCCATAAAAATCTATTTCCACAGTACCTAATATTATATTTAGTACCTACTAAAAAACACAAGCTAACTTGTACTTACGCCGATAACTAGTACTTACGCCGATAGTAAAAACTCACCAGCACGGCAGCGGGAGCTGCTGATTATTACAGCATCTGTAGATTATTTTTCACCAAAGTTTTCATTTTTTAAAAAAAGAAGTAGGGAAAATTGTTGATACTATTTTTTAAAACATTTCTAAACAGATTTCTAATAAAAATTAAAAAGCTGAATTGATAGAACACCGTAAAGAACAACAAGTAAAAAATAAATAAATTATGTTGCTTGATTACTGACTTAACTTTATAGGATTTATTCTACTTATTAATATCATAGTATAAAATTCCGTTATAATTATATTTAAAAGTACCTTATATGCTCCTTCTAAAGATCTGACCTTGGTGTTAGATGGATCTTCAAAGTGATTTAAAAGACTTTCCATGAAGGTTTTCTTTAAAACTAAATTATATTTTGCTTTTATGCATAAAACTTTATAAATTATACATTTCTCAACTAAGATACTTTTTTTAATATATTTATGTATCTAAATAAAATTTGTACTAAATGCATATTATGTATAATAGAAATACTTTTTATTAGATATCCCCTTATGTAAACGGTGTTTTGTACAGAATTCTTTCGATAGCAAGTGTTCGAGAATATGCGAAGGAACAAGTACGTATTTTGCCGTTAGTTATTACACCATTTTCGTTCCTTCTTGTAATATCTATAATTTTATAATATTATACGAATGTTACAGTTTATTCTTGTTCTAAACACATTTTCAGGCATTGCCAAATGCACTTCGCAAAATGATGGCCAAAGCTGAAGGGGAACCAAAGAAACAACTTGAGACCATTTTAGAACTCTTCGTGACGGGTAACTCTTCAAGTTTTATTGGAATTCAGACTGTTTCTGAAAAAAGTGTATCATTTTGATTAACTCGCTTTATTATTTTTTTGATAGTTATTTGAGTAACCAATAATATGATTTTATTGCTAATATTATAAAAGTATAAGAGAGCTAAGAGCAAACGACTGTCTTGGGTTTTGATCGGGCTAATAAGGAAATATGAGGACCACAAAGTGAAGAACGGTTATGTGCATAAAGGCTGTGTGTGTTTGTGAATCGGAGAAAAAAACGATTTTGTGAGCGGAAAGGCGGGTATTTTCCACAATACGGCCCATTTTCACTGTGTAGTAACTCTCGGGAAAAACTGATTTTTCACATTATTGATTTGTCAAAACTGTAATCCTCAAAATACAACAGATGGCGAACCTATCGTTATTTTTTTGTGTAAAATGGACAAAGCCATTCTTTCTTCCATAGTCTTCATCTTTTAAAATTTCCCAGCAATTCTTAAATTTTTCGGAAAAAAGTGCCCAATCCAAAATTAATTAATTTATGAAACTAAAATTGCGCCCCGAGTTCCAAAAATCTAATATAGTAAAAGGTTTATAATTTTTTTTTTTTTATTTAATGCAACATCCTAGAATTTTCTCAAGGTTAATAAGAGAAAAAACAATTGTGAATAAAACACTAACTTGAATGTTGTAGTTTCTAATGACGCTTGGACAAACTAAGCTCGCCACTCGTTAGCCTTGCAAATTAAGTCAGGACGAGGGCGCCTTTCGTTTGACCAGAGAGCACCACTCATATGAGAATCCACTTACACAGTCAAGACATTGAAAAGAAAGAAAATATTCTCTAGACCAGTGGTAATGCTCAGTGCTTGACCAGAGCACTTTCGATTCAACAGATTTTACAAGCATGTATATCGCATATACTCTATTGGTCTTAGAAGCGTCGAGAACCGAACCCTCGCCCCTCCGCTCCGATACTGAAATCATTGGGCTACCAGTTACCACGGCCCTACAAGTTTGAATTTGAGCGATTTCGTAAACTTTTTATTTTCAAAACAAAATTTTGAAACAAAAAATACGCTTGAAAAGAGAGAGAGAATTATCCAATTCTAATCAGATATCAGTATTAACCCAAGAGAAGTTATTATTTAAAAAAAAAAAAAAAATACTAATTAACACAAAAACATTTTAAAATAAAATGCTAAAATATCATAAGACAATTCTTAAAAATTTAAAATAGTCACAAAAACGGACAGTTAATCTCACTATTTTTGTCTGCAGGAAATTTTTTTCATCTTCATTATTAAAAACATAATTTTTCATTTAAGCAATATGCAAAATAGAAGTAATTTAAATCAGATTTTTTTCATCATTTAAAACAGTTTTCGGATATAAATTTAATTACAAAGGTTTTGTTTCCCAGAAGTAACATATTTTTTAACATAACTTGTTATTGATTGATTAAAGATTTTCAATTCCAAAAATACGTTCTATCATAACTAGACTAGACTTAAACCTCTTTTGTCCAAGCCGAAAAGGCATAAAAATCGCTTACTCTTCAGACAAATGGGATACCTGCAAGTGACGTAGTGTGGGTATCTCGATCCTGATTGGTTATTGAAAAGTGGCCTTTGTTTACGTTAGCAACTATTCTTTTCGAGTAAGCCAAGCCCGTCAAGTTCTTTTAAGTGACACATTCTAAATTCTTTCACAAAGATTTCACTTCTTTCCCTATATATTTACACAGAGAGTTAACACAAAGACAGGCACGAAGCCATGTAGAACATAAACAAGCTAATTATGCATCAAAGTTTCCAAGTACACAAAACAAAAATGTATCACGGTTACAATAAAATATATAAACAAATAATAAATCTAAGTTAAGTAGTCGAGAAAGAATTATTTTTCAACTAATTCGATGTGCTATACGGTTCTGTATTTAATTAAATTATCGTTAATTAACATTCTAACTTATATAGAGAAACTTAGCTCAACTTTAATACGCCATTTTGCTGATAATGATTAGCTGGTACTAACGTCATAGATTACATGTGAGGATATGAGCTATCTTCTTCTTTTTGAAGTACAAGTACCCAATTGAGCGATTCCGAATATATATTGCATTAAATATGATCCGATATGTAAACATTTCTTGCTTATTTATTACGAAATAATTTAACATCAAAAACATTATTTGTTCTCACTCAGATGTCCAAATTGAAGATGGAAGTTCAGACGAGGAAGACGATGATCAGGTAATTTGTTGAGGATTCTATTTTTCTGTATGTTTTATGTTCTTCTTTGAAGTAAGAATAATTAAAAAATTAATCATTATGTTATTTTAGGAAAACGATAATTTGGAACCTGAATTAGAATCCAACGATATAATTACATCCGACACAAGTGAAGTGAATGGAGAACACCTTTTGGAATTATACTGTACTCTCAAACAAAATGTAGGATTTAAAATGTGTCTGAATTTCTTTTAACTCATTCTTTTTTTAAATTATAGAATGAAACTTATTCAAATTCTTACTTATATAAAACTTACCTCAATTAATAAAATGAATGGATATATTTAAGGTACAACCTGAAAGGAATACTAGTCCTGAACTACAAAAAGAAGAACTGAACCTCTCGCCTCGATTGTAAGTCTCATCTCTAAGGTGAAAAATAAGAATTATAATTTCTTGCTATTTCCTAATGATAAAACTGAAAAAAGTATTAACATGTTAACTACCCAAAATACATGTTTTTAAAAAAATCAACTTCTCTTTGAAGACTTGTGATCACGATTGTAATAATACATTATCCAATAAGTAGAAGAAACATTTGGAAAGAATTTCAAAAATCTATGGTTGTAAATATTAAGCCCTGTTATTAAAATTATAAAAATGAAAAAAAAAATGTATAATAAATTCAGACTAGGGAGCTGTTTATTTTTCCAAAACTTGAGGGTGGGGTTGTAAACCTTTCTGCATTATAAATGAATTTCCTCGAAAAACGAAACTTCAGGATTAAATAACTCCATAACTAATTGAAATTTAAAAAAAGTAGCAAAGTGATGCTTATTAGACATAAGGGTACGAGGTTGCAAAAAACATAATTCTGCTGTTATTAGTTTCTAACAACGAAAACGAAATAATGATATTTATGAAAGATAATTAAAAATTTAAACGTAATTTCGAAAAATGGGAATGTATGCAATGCAAAAATAAATAAAATAAAAAAGGTTTGACATAAAATATCTTAAAAACTAATGACATTTTCCGTTCAGAATGTTTCCTAAAAATGTGCAAAAATTAATACTTTTAATCCAATTTTTTTTTTTTTTTTTTTTTTTGTCAACAGAAAGGAGCACGCGGCGGCAACAATAATTATTTTGTTTTTAATATAAAGCGATTTTTTTTAAGAAATAAAAAGTATTGAATAAAATAAAAAGAATAAAGTAATAATATTGAATAAAGTAAAATAATTAATCAGTGTGTGAAACGATTTATAAGAGTTTAAAACAATGTGTTATGGTACAGCAATTTATGTGTAAAATAATAAGTAGTGTTTGTAGTTACGGTTCTACGATTCATTCCCCCCTGAAAATACGATCTAGGGATATTTTTGGAAATCCGGTCTAATTACTTACATAAGCGGCAAATGCCTAAAGGAATCAATAAACGCAAATGAATTTTTTATGTCCAGAAATGTAAGTATATAGTCTTAGTAAACATTTTTTTTCCCTTGTAGAAATCATATTTCAGAAACGAGAAGTGCTATCAGTGAATTATCAGTTAACCAAAATTCACAATTGAATTCGTCATTGACTTCAGAATTACCTCTAACACCAAGTAAGATAATTTGACATTTATTTATACAAAAGAGCGCCGATTATCCGAACCCTTATTATCCGAACTGTGTCCGAATCCTTTTTTTTTTTTTCAAGTTTAGAATAATTTTTAACTTATCGACATTTTTTCTAAATTTAGAAGAATAAATAATATCCACTACATTTAATGACCATATTTAATTTACAACCATTTTTAGCAGTTTTCTTATAGTAGCCATTAGGACTGGGCGATATTAGAAATTATATATCGTGATGCATCGTCAGTTTTGCATCGCGATATAGCGATGTATCGCGATATAGTATTTTTGAATTTCATTTACTTGTAAGGCACAGAAAGTCAGATTTCTATCAAAACTCCATACTCAGATTGATTTAAATCAATTTATAAATTTGAAGATATATATGTTTTGCTAAGGAAAGATATAATTGACTACAATGTACAAATCTTACTTAAAATATTTATTGAAATGTTTGTTTAGAAATTCATAATACGCTTAAAACAAAGTGTTGAAAACTATTTTTTAAAGCGTTTTTTACAAATAATCAAGCATCATCGAGTCAAGCATCACTGGCTACGGTCAGTGTGCGGGTGGGTGACCACTTGGATCAGTCTGCGTAGGGACCGAGGGTGTGCGGTATTGGTCCTCGTTAAACTGTGCTACCNCTATTCTCTGGTGGTTGCAGCAGACAAACCTCAATTTTCTCATTGAATATTTTGTGTGCTACTATGTAAGTTTTAATACCTAAACATTTAGATATCTGTTGTACATTTATTGTTAAATACATAGGTGCACATTAAGTTATTGTAGCCCGAATTTTTATTATTTATTTAATATTTTTAAAAATATTATTAATAACAATTAAATATTTTTAAAAATCTACATATTATTTTAATTTCTAATTCAATACTTTTGTTTTGTACAACTTGGTAAAACTCTGACAGTAATATTTAATGTTCCTTCAAACATAAAAGCGTCCAACAAAAAATTTTGATAAAGTTGCAACCCGCCATTTGATTGGTGGGCCCCGGCCTCATGCAAGTTGGAAACCCCTGGTCTAGAACGTCAAAGTGATGTTGATCCAGTTCAGTTGATTTATTTAAAAAGAATAAGGGCTGCTCAAAAAAGAGCATCTTCTTTTAAACAAAAGTCTTTGCTGGATTTCTTTTGTAATGGAAAATAAACAAAAAAGGTTTAAATCAGTAATTGACAAAAAAAATTATAAAAAGCTGAAATATGACTAAAAAAATTCAAAATGAAAAAAAGTAAAAAAAAAGAAAATAAATAAATGAAAACGATTTAAAAATTGCAGAAAAAAAAACTTTTAAACACGCCAGAGCTATTTTTAATAGTACTGCCAGTTCTAAGCCTGGAAAAAGTGAGAAAATTGAAGTTAGTGCATAAATAATAATCATTTAAACTAGATTTTAAACAACTTTCCAATTATCCGAGCCACATTCGGTCCCGAGCAGTTTGGGTAATCGGCCCTCTGCTGTATATTGTTATTGTTTCATTTAAAAAGTTAAGCTCAATTTAGTATAATAATTTTTTTCTCTTTTTCCCGCCATATTATGTGGTCAGTGTTATCGACCAATAACTAATTTTAATGTAAAATAACTTAGTCTACGAACAACCCTCCGGAAAGCATACTGTTAGAGTGAACGGAATAAATTTTGTACATAGGTATTATGAGCTATGCGCTGAAGAATGAATGCGTAGCTCTCACGTACCACAGTTGAAGTTACAAAATTTCGAAATGGAAACACTCATTTAAAAAAAAAAAAAATCTAAAATTCAATTGTATGTTTAATTTTTTTAAACTAAAATTGAAGCCTTTTAAAGAAATCGTGTACTGATAAAATAAAAGAAAGCAAAATTATTATAAAACATTTAAATTAATATTACAATAACTGAAAGAAAGTAATAAATTTTGTATTGATGAATCTAAGAGCAACATCAACCTGCATTAATATACTTTTAGAAACTAATAAAAATTTTAGATGGATGCCTTCTCAAAAAGCATTGCGTTGCAGGAAATTCCAGACTTGTCTGCTATTTCCTTCTTCTAACAAAACAATTTTTTCTGACAAATTAAAAATCACTTTTCGTTTATTTTTCTCATAAATTTTGTATCTAAGATTTGTATGAATAGGCCAATGTTACACCAATATTTGCAAACTTCCTATTTTACTTACCTTAAAAGAGCGCCTACCTTAACGTAAAATTTTTTTCTTAGAACATAGTGACAGGAGAAATTATTAAAGGGGATATTATTATCATTTTTCTCACTCCCCAAAAGCGTTTTCTTGAAGAAACGTTAAAGAAAACTCAATATTCAACCGTCATCTGTATTTGTAGAATGTTAATTATCACAAGGCAGGATGTCTTTGGCACTTATAAAACAATGAATGCAACACGGTTTGTATGGTTATTTGATTTGTAGAGTTAAACGTTGAAATATATATATATAAGATATTTCCACATTTTATTTTAGGAAAATAAGAGCGTTTTAATTGTTATTTTCAACAAGCTGGCGAGGAAAGAAAAAAAAAAGCTTTTAGAAAAGGAAAAATTAGATCGTAAAAAGCTTTTTATTTTAATCTAGCCTTACTACACTTTGGCATCCTATGAGGCCGCTTATCAGGCTTATACCTCGGACTGGCTCTGGACATGGAAAACATGTGAGGACGACGTGACAATTTTTAAAACATAAAAAGCTTTTTTTTAATGAAAATATAATGCTTTGATATATTATTTGGAATTTATTAGTAGAGATTGACATTTTTTAAGGTTGTGAAAAAAAAATAATGTAAGCACTTTTTAAGTTTGTATAAATCCTATTAAATAGAGCAGTAATCTCAAGATAAATTATTCATTAGAAATATTAACAGTCACCATGTGTTAAAATAAGTCAATAGTAATCTTTTACACAGAATGTAATAAATTTGAAAGTAATGTCTTTCCTCCTTAATTAGAATTAGATGTTGAAGCAACTCAGCTAGTACGCAAAATAGTTGGATCTCCATCAACGACGCTAGTCGAAGCTGCAGTTATTCCAGATCCCGCATCAGTGACAATTAAAGGCCTCAAGTATGTTACTATAACAAAAATTATTTAGTAACAATGGATATTTTAACTGTGTCTATGCAACTAAAAGAAAATGGCATTTGTTTATGTATGTAGTTAAGTACATTCTCATAGCAGTTACGAGTACCTATGCTTTGTAATTGAAATATGTTAAAAAGATAAAACAGGTGCTATATTGAGTGAAATAATCTTTGCAGACTAATTTTAAAATACATATCATGCTAATTTGTAGTGAAAAAATTTACGCTTTTGAAATCAGGTACCTTTTAGAGGACCTTTCACAGCACTGAGTAATCTATTATGAATTTGGTTCAATCATTTTTTTAATTACACCACTTTCACATTTAATTATGAAACAAAAGTTGCGCAAATGATTTCAATTTAATGCCATATGATCCAGTGAGATAAAGGCAATAACAGAAATCGTAAGTTCTTAATACTTTCCAATGTTAATTTGTTTATTCTTTTCCTGGTGCATTTTTTTGTGGAATTGTCTAACCCTTGATGCAGAATTTAATCTCTTCCATATGATCGAATGCCATGATATTGTGGTTCTAAAAAGAAATAAGGTGTGATGAATAATGAATGATAATAGAGAAATAAGGTGAAATGTTGTCAGTAATACATATTTTTCATGTGATTTCTATAGAGAATTTGAATCGACTATCAAAAAGGGTTCTTTCTTCGAAATTACATAATGCGATTTCATAAATTAACATAGAACAACTGGTTGATAGTTGTTGGTAACAAACTATTGGTAATGACTGATACGCTGGCCAATATTTAAAATGATGCCAGCTTAGAAAGCTTTAAGCAACAACATATATATTGATGTAATTTATATAGAAGAATTACTGTAAGGATCCTTTTCAACAAAAGAGGCTTTCTACTTCTTCAGAGTGTTAACCTATGGAGAATTATATTGATACAATTTCTTGAATAATTTAGATCAATTAAAATTTTTTCAAAGTAATATGTTTGGTTGAACTGAGTCACTATATTTTAAGAATGCAAATTTTTTTAAGACTTAAACTTTATATAAGTTAGTGATACTCACAACCATAATTTATTGCTACCAGGTTCAAAAGAACACATTTCTTTAAATAAAATATTAATAAGTTACTAACTAAATGTAGAAATTGCATTAGTACAATTCTCTATAGGCAAGAATACCTTTTGCTGTCTGACGAGGATTCTTAATGTAATCACACAATATAAAAGATTATAACTGAGAACAGAAATATGCAGATATTGTAGGAATCGAATATCACTTAAATGTACAAATGGTGTCAGTAAAAATTAAAGTTTTAATTATTTTTTTAAAGTTATTTTTCTTTTAATTGATTGTTTAAACAAAAATTTCTGTATAGATGATAGAAATCAGAGTACTTTAGAAGACGCGAATTCTGTTTTACCTCCATTGGTATTTTGAAATTTTAAATTTGGAGAAGATGTAAGTAAGGAAGTAAGATGATGAAAAAAGTTCCCAAATGATGAAAAAAAAGCTTCCAAAATCAAACTAATTATGAAAGAATCACTCGAGATTACGCAGAGAAGAAACCCAGCCATACTTTGTCTGCCTTTCAATAATTTGAATTTTTTTTCTTCATCATTTGTAACTTTGTGGTTTAAATGAGGTCACTCATTTTATACTCTAATTTTAAAAATAACAACGATGGTGAAACAGAATTTAAGATGTAAAGATTCTGTCTCTTAGGCAGTCCACACATTGAAGAGGCAAGCTTTATGAGATATACGAGGGGCAGATTGCCATACTTTATCATGCACTCACTTCTGCGGATCCTAACACACACGTATTCGCCACCTGTATGCCTCTTTTGTACCACTTGCCTTTTCACTGTGTGACCTGCCTTAACATGCAATGATATTTGTATAATGTAATAGATGTACTAACTTATTCATAAAATTATAATTTTAGTGCTAATGAGTATACAGTAGCCTTCAGTTCCCGGCCTAAAATTCCTCGGACACCAGAACCAGGAGAGCTACCATCTCCGAAAGTCGGCTCAAGCAGTCCAATAAGGTGTGTTTTCCAGCGAGACTTTAATTCAAGTGCAAGCAACATCGGCATATATTGCAATAATTGAAAAACTCCCATTTAGTGTAAACATGAGCATTATTTTCTCTCAAATATAAGTACACTAGAGTTTTAATTCCTTTTCTGTCTTGCACAAAAAATAATTTTTTGTTTTGTTTCCATAGGTTCAGCAGTTTATCTTTGAAGAGTAGATGAAATTTCTAGCATAAGACAAAAAAACAGTGCCTTGTTACAATTTTTAAATACATGAAGATGAGAATCATTCCACTCTGACGAAAATGAATTTTATAACAAATTTGCTACAACCCTAATCTTGAACAAATAGAAACTGCTCAGTTATTAGCACAAAAATAAACTGCACTTACATGGTTCTGAAATTCTGGCTTTTGTAAAGGTTTCATTTTTATGAAGAGACTGTGCTGCCAAGAAACTGATTATAACATTGTGATAATTAGATTAGAAACCTATATTAGTATCAATAAGTACTAAACGAGTTGATAAAATAGTATATGGGTGATTCTTTGGAAACATAACAATTGGGAACAAAAAATCTCTTCAAATTTAAAGTCCTGAAAATAATCTAAATTTTTTTTCTGCACATTTATTTAAGTACATTTATTAATATTTTACAGACAGCAGTGTAGTTTATTGACATTTGCTCAAAAAAAATAAATAAAAAAATAAATAAAATAGATATCCACCAAATTTTGAATGCCAGGAAAATGACATATTAGCTTAAAAGTTAAAAAAACAGTCATTTTAATCTAATAGTAAGTAACTCAACTTAAATGCAACATGTGCAGAGGTGCCACATATCTGACAAGCTCAAGTAAGAAGAAGAACTCAACTTAAGCCTTTGCGTTAGGTGGTCTATGAATTGCTTAATTCTTTTATCCACAGTGGAAAGAATAAAAAATGTTTGTTGTTGCTGATATGTACAGAATAAAATTGTATATAATAATCAATCATTAAATAAAAAAAAAAATTATTACATTCAAGCATATTACAATCTTACATAAACTTGGTATTAGGTTAATATTTGGTTTCTCTCTTTACATTAAACTGTTTAAAGAAATTTTTGGTAACTGTTTCAATGTCCTGGCATTCATAAGCCAGGATAATGAGAATTCGCCATTATATAGCATTTAACTTTAACATTTCGGCCTAAGATGTTTACATTCCACAGAAAACAACAGGATTTCTTGAAATAACTCAGGTAAATCTATGTAGTTTATATTATTAATGATTTCAAGAAGACAGGAAAATGACAACATAAAAACCTTCTCACCTTGAAAAATTTTTTGAAATAGGTTTTGAACCAGAAAGTTGGTACTTTATTCATGCAATAAGACATGTTCAGATAGGATGGTATTCTAATCAATCTATTAGCATAAGATATTGATTGCTATTTTGGTTTTAAATCACTAAATAAAAGTAGTCAGGAAAATGATAGATTTTCTTGTGACAAACTAACTATTGACAGAAAAAATAATTTTCAACAAAGTGTTTGTAAATAATACAGTCCGCATATATTCTAGAAATGCTTATAATGGTTGAGATGGAAAAAAAAAATAAGATGTTGGATAATTTATGGGATGTTTTGAAGCTAGTTATTATTGAAAATATTGTTTGTGACATACCAGGAAAATGACATTTTGAAATTCAATTCAATTTTTTAAATATACAAAACAGCTAATGCTAGTACACGGTCATTTTAAAATATTAACAGCAATGTTATTTATTTAAGTTAAAAAAAAAAAAGTTCTTTTAGTAGTATAGTATTAGACCTTGAAGCAAGAGACTGTAAACTGTCATATTTCATGAGAATCACCCATATGTAGAATACTCTTATTTTAAACTGTTTTATTAAAACTTTAAAAGGACTGCAATTAAATATTTATCAGATTAAAATTTGATTTTCTTTATCTAAGAAAAATAACTTACGGTCAATTTCACTGTTACACTTTTAATGGCATAGCACTCTTTTTTTAAACTCTTTTTTTTCAAAACTTTGTAAGGAATGTAAATAAATATTTATCAGATGAAAGTTTGATATTCTTTATTTTTTATCTGAGAAAAATACGATACAGTCTTTTCATTTGTACACACGAAATGGTATAGCGGATAATGCAATACTCCGCTTTTGAAGAGATAATAGATTTTACATAAAAACAATGTTAAATTTACCCATTTACCACTTAAAAAGGAAATATTGACATTAAAAATTGTCTTTTGCAAAAATTATTTCACCAATTGAACAATTAAAATTTTTATTTCAATCTATCGAAATTCAAATAAAATATTTTATATTAAAAGCACCCCTTCTCTCATCTATTGCTCCTATCAGCTGTTATATAGAAAACCTACATTTTAACGAAACGTCAGATTATATTTTAAGAAAAAAAAAGTCTAGGAATGATTAAGCAAATTGTGTCACAACAAACTTCAATAATTGAATTTTTGGGAAGGAAATAAGACAATTATGTATAGAGGGTTGGTGTCAGTTTACCAGACATATTATATTAGAACAAGAAGTTATCTGAAAATTTGTAAAAATTCAAGGTCAGAAAATTTTGTTTTCAACTGAAGCAATTCTTTCCCAATAAGTAGTTTTTTAATACTAAGTTTGCATTTTACACATTGAAAACAATTTCTGTTCAATTAAATAGGGGGAAAATATTAAATAATAATAGACTATAATTCTTATCCACTAAACTAACGTCCATAAAATTTAGGTGATGGAAAATGTTTTGAAGCTAATAAGTATTTCCACATTAACATATGAAATTTATATTTGAATATTATAGATGATATTTTCACATTTTGGAAAAAAAAAAGGAAAAAAAAACTCATTTTCCTCTTTTTTGGCACGTAAAATAATTACAATGTACTTTTAAACAGGAACTGAGAATTATCGGAAGCTTAAGAAGGGTGGTCGGCTTACAATCAAATCTATTAGTTGGAAATAAAACACATAAAAATAAAGGAAAAAACACCAGAACTCCGGCCAAAAGGCAAGGGGATTGCCAGTAAAGGAGGAATAAATGTCTTACCTTATTTTTGTGGAAATTTTTAAAATTTAATTTTTAGATTAGCAGAACTTTGTGAAAATATTGCCGTAATAAAATTTTTGGATTAGCACAAGCCCAAGAATCAATGGTCTTAAGATAAACAGATCCCTGTTTATGAAATATAATTTTGCACAAGTTTATGAAACATTCCTTATTAAATAAAAACTATTCTAATAACAATTTAGAGTAGGATTTTTATAATTGGATTAGCTACTGATTAAAAATTTCTTTAGAAAACTTGGTACCTAATTTTAATCAGGGCTTGCAATAACGGAGTTTGAATGTAATACACACATAATATTATTACATTTAAAACTTCTGGAAGAGCACTTTCTTCTCTATTCAGTCAACTTAGATTAACGACCTACAACAAAAAAATATGATTTACTAATATTATAAGGATTAAATAAAGCCAGGTTAATTTAATTTATGGTAGATCAAAGAGATAAATGACAATAGTAAAAATGAATGCATAGTTCTAAGATCAATGAAATTTAAATTTCAGCTATAATAGAAAAAACATTTTATATATATTTTTAAATCAACTCTGCATTCTTATATTTTAAAGTTCTAAAATACAAATGAAGGCCATTTCTAAAATAGCAGTGTTACTTTTAAAGCGAAAGTCTCGCACAGAACTTCAGCTTAGAAAAATCCTTATATTTTAAGCAGAGGGAAATAAGATTCAAGCTCAAAAGATTAAACATCAATATTAAGTTCGGATGATGGCTTCCTCTTATGAAGATGGCAAAGCAGCGAACCTTTTTGAAATATCTATTGGATGTAGCATTAAATAAGAGTATCCAATAATTTAATTTTTTTTACATAAAATATTTGTAAATTAGATTAAAAATAAATCTAGATCAATTAAAATTTTGTTTCAATAGTTCAAAGCAGGGTTGGCAAGTTTTTGACACATGACGGCTTTTACCGGTTTATACCATGGTTTTTACCGTCATGTCAAAAACCCATAGTTTTGGTGAAACTGTATTTTTATTTGAGTTTAACTGCTTAAAATTAATTCATTTTTGGGCAATAAAATTAGAAAAAAAGTTGTTAAAACATATTTAAGAACAGATTCTTGCATTTTCCCAGCATGGTTATATCAGAACATACTATTTGAAGTAAAATATTAGGATACTAAACAAAATTTTCAACATTTCCAAGCATCATTTTGTTTGGCATATTACATTACTGAAGAATGTCAAGTCATTCTTGACTTAGAGTTTGTTAGTTTTGAAAGTTTTGTTTAGCTTATTTCTAATATTTAAGAAATGCCAAATTTTAAATTCTTCTTTTTAGTTCTTGAATTTATTAATAGTTCCAAGCTTTCTTGTTTGTCTGTTTATTTCTAACAATTAGGAAGTGCAAAACTTTGAATCCTTTGCAAATCAAGCTATAATGATAAAAGTAAGTATCACTATTTTCAATAAGTATATTACAATATTTTTATATGAATGTACATCCTTCAATAAGAATACATGTATATAGTTGCAAACTCAATAGCAATCATTTACAACATTCATTTATGAAGGCAATTATGTGAAAATAATATATTGTTCACTATATGCCACAAATTAAAGAAATCAGTAGGTTTTTGACAGTTTTTACCGGTAAAAACACGGTTTTTACCACTGTCATGTCAAAAACCAGTTTTTGACGGCAAAAACCCAACCCTGGTTCAAAGTGCTACAAAATTAAACTGAATGTTCATTTTGAAATAAAATATTTGAGATTAAAACTCCGACTTTAAAATACACAGTGTTTCAAAGAAAATATTTAATATGAAAGAAAGTATTCAACAACAAAAAATGCTCATCATATTTTTATTTCTATTTTCTTTTACATTTTTTTTTTGTTATTATTTTCTTCTTTTTTCTCTTTTACATTTTTTAAAATTTTTTCTTCTTTTTTTTCTTTTTTTAAAAAAAAATGATGAACACCAACTTCACCTGCTCCACTGATAGCTGTAGAGGAAAAATTAATATAGTTATCGCAAAATAGTGTATTATAAATAATCTTTTCTCTTCACCAAAGATTAGGAATAGTATGAAAGTTGTGACTTACTTAAAAGGCACAAAATAAAATTCATCTCCAGAAAAGTAAATAAATAAAAAAACGGTCGGTTACAAAAAACATTTTTCAATATTTGATTTTAACATAAAAATCAGTTTTTGTATTTCATACAGCTTCTATCTGATGTAGAAGCATGAAACTGAAGCATACATAAAAAAAAATATTTTAAAAAATTGGAAAAGGAGAAATAAAAAATTTTGCTCAGATTTTTGAAGTTCAAAAACTCCATAAGCATAGTATCTAAAAAAATTTTTTTCCCTGTAAATTCATTTTAGATTTAAGAAGATACCTCAATAATAAACATCTAATAAAAGGCATAGATGGAAGCCAGGTGCTGCAAGAAAAAATATCATTATAAATTTTCATCTTAAAGACAATTGTAGTCCTGAAAAGAAATAATTATTTGTGGGCTAAAAAGTGTATTCATAAGCTTTTTTTTTGTAAATTTTTTTATTATAATTTAACAAATATATAAGTGAAATGAATAAACCTTCCTTGCTACATAATACAGGCAGGAAAGTGGACAAAAATAAAAAAAGCTGAACTTTTATAATACAGGTCACTGGGAGGAGGGGGAGGGAGTGTTCTATATGATATGACTGTGATATCGATGAGATATATAAAAGCAACTTTTAACTATGCAGGGAGATTTTTATTTAATATTTAAAGTGGCAGAAGCATTTAGACAGTTTACTTTAAATTTTTCTTAAATATAATTTTAAAATTTTGACCACTACTATATTAAAGAAAATTTAGCAATTATACTAAGGCGTGGCTAGTAAATTACTTACTAATGAAAAATATCACATCTTTACAGTAACTAATTCAAGAGAAAACTTACTTCTACTTCTTTAAAGAATCGTAATATTTGGTTCCAAAATCGCGTGAATATCAATCGTGATACTGGATTTCAAAATCGCGATTTCAGAATTTAAAATCGCGTGAATATCAATCGCGATTTTGGATTTTAAAATCCTGTGAAAATGAATAGAGCTGTTGGATTTTAAAAACACGAAAATACAAATTGCGATATTGAATTTTTAAATAGCGTAAATAAGAATCATGATATATAATTTTTAGATCATGTGAATACGAATCGCAATGAGTAATTTTTAAATAGCAGGAGTCTGTCAAGGTTTTTCTGAGAGGTACGTATTTTGTGAAAATTTAGACATAATTTGTGAAAAATTAAAAATTATATTAAAAAATCAACATAAAAATATGGATTTATCGTTTCTTAAGGGATACAAAAATAAAATTTTAAGAGAAAGTATTTTGTGAAACTACCGTTTTTCCTAAAATTGAATTTGTGCAGGTACCGCTAAATGGTAGTAAATTCGGTCTGGACAGACCCCTGAATAGCATACAAATACGAAATCTGATATTACAACTGCTTGATAAAGAGTCGCAATGCTGGATTTAAAAATGTGTGAATACGAATCGCGACATTGGATTTTAAACTCACGGGAGTACCAATTGCGATATTCGGCTTTAAAAACGCTTAAATACAAATTGCGACATTCGGCTTTAAAAACGCTTAAATACAAATTGCGATATTGGATTTTTAAATCGAGTGAATAGGAATTTCTAGTACGATTCTTAAATCGCGTAAAGAATTGCAGCACGTAACTTTTAAATCAGTTAAATACGAAAATCGATGATTGACATTAAAATCGTCTGATTAAGAATCACGATTTTTGCAGATTCCGGAGCAGTTCCTAATATTAAAATTCCGAAAATCAGCCAAAAAATAAAAATAAATAAAGTATAGGTCGTTGAAACGAAACTGCTTAGACTCCTTTCCACTCTATAGGGGAAGTAGCGGTTACAAAGCAACGGCGTGCCTGCCGAAGCTCCACCTTTTTCCTTCTGAAATTAATTTTCTCATTAGGCTACTGCAAGGGGAAAAAGTTTATTCCAAGTTCGACTATCGTTCGGGCAGCTTGGGTTTCTCTGATTGGACTCCCCAAAAATTTCAGTTTATGAAACATGGTCGGAAATTTTAAAAATTTGGAGAAAAAAGCGGATTTCTGCTTTTTTGCGGAAGTCTTTCATCCCTGATAATAGGAATAGAAAATAAAAGTTAGTACATCTGGAATGCCCAAAACACAGCATGCCCCTTGCCAGTACAAAACAGGAAAATTTAGAAAGAAGTAAAGATACAATGTCAAAGAATAAATGAAAGAGAAAAATGAGATGATCAGCAAATGATTTTAGTATTAATCATTAGTAATAAAAGCTGTATCTCGAAATTTGAAAATTTTGCTTTCATTTCTATTATGAAGAAAAAAAGGATTTTATTAAAAAAAATACACAAAATTATTATAAAGCTCTGTTTCAAACTAAAATTGTTTATACGAACAAGGTTTTGATGTGCTAAACCAACTAATCACTGCACTTCAACCAACTAATCACTGCACTTCAACCAACTAATCACTGCACTTCAACTAACTAATCAGGAAGTGATCTCATAAAACTTCATTTCAGATTTCGTAGCTGTAAATGCCTTTCCCTTGACCCGATCCCAAAATACTTTTTAAACACAAACACACATATTGCATTTATGGATAGCATAAAAAATATCAATTTACAGATACAGCATCTAAAAAATTTAAAATAGGAAAAGAATAATTTTATGATGTAAAAAACTTTATTATGTAAGAAAAGGAACTATACTTATAACCTAATTCTAATTATTTCATTGTTAGCTTTAAAGGAGTAATGTAAGGAAAAATGCTCGGTAATAAACAAAAATATTTTTATCATTTCTAACCAGAGAGAAATCAATTGTAGAAAATTTAAGTGAGCTATAAAGAAATACTCATATACTATATAAAAATAATGTATGTTAAATTGTTTTTAAACGTTATACTTGTTTTTAACTTTTTCGGCTTTCCAATTTCTCAATAGCTAAGAGTTTAGAAAACTTCCCTTATAACAAATCTATTGCTTACAATATTTTCAAAAGAAAATCAAGTTTTGTTTACTTAAATGCCCATTGATACAGTTTAATAAAATTCATTGGTATCATTTTAAGAATGGAATAGTTAAATTATTGCCATCTCGTATAACCACAAAATTACACGGTGACCTTCTACATCTAACGTTGGATGTAATTAAAAAAAATCTGTAACCCTACAAGAAATTACATCTTAGTAAAAATATAAGCTTTTAACTGAACTTTATAAAGCAAAGAATAAAAAATGTTAAACAAAGAATAAGGAAACAAAAGATATAAATAAACCATGCCACCCGTATGAGAGTAAATTTTAAAAATTGTAAAACTTACATGAAATGTCCCCTTAAAATACTTGAAGCCTCTAAAATCAATAGGGGTAGTACCAGGAACTTCGCCGCCTGAGATAAAAGGGAATAAACTTTACTACATTGCGATAAAACAAATCATAAAATAAACATACATAAAAAGCAAAAAAAATAAATGTTGAACACGTTTTTAAGATTTAAGTAGCAAGCATAAATAGCCTAGTGTTTGCATAAAAATGTTTTATGATGGATAGAGCTAAATTTAATTAGTTTAAAGGCTTCTAAGATATTAAAAGTAAAAGTTTAAAAAACATCTTTAAAAGCTAAATTTTTGCCCAATAAAAATAATTTTGACAATGAATAACGAATAACAATGATATAATACCTACAAGTTTTCTTTTACTTAAAATAGAGACATAGCTTTAATAATGTGGCAGTTTTTTACTTAAGCAAGGGTGAGAAATTGTTTTTCAATCATCAGATTATCTACAAATAAAACGCTTTAGTGTTGGCAGTTACATGAGGAAAAAAAAAAAACATTTGAACAAAGTAGTTGTGTATGAATGTTAATGATACAAAATCTACAATTTGAATAATAACTCATGGTGTATACTGTATAGATTATTTATACAGCCAATATTGTTATTTAACACATACTGTGAGATATGGTGTAGATTGTTATTTATGCACTCATAGTATCTTGAAAAATCATGATACAATTTTAATAGTTTTTATTTCTTACAATAGGCTACCACAAGCATAATCAACATGGATTTCATAATTTTCATAGCTAATGGGGAAGACAAAAATTTGGTGCTCTGAAGCTAGGTGAAGAAATAATGTATTTCTTTTGTTGACTTTATTGCTTTGAGGTGTGTTTTTATGAAACTTAATAATGTATATTCAAAAAGAAAAAGGGAAGAATTTTAAGTGCCATTCAACCGAAGAATCATATAGTAAATCGGATTAACCAAAATCAATCGCAACAAATAAGATCGATAGTCGATAATTATGTGCGTGTGGTACAAGAGTAAAAGTAAAAGGATCAAAACAACAACAATAGTAACGAATTTGCAATTTGTAAAATTGCCCATTTAAAACTAACTCCAATTGAATTTTAAAAAAATTTAAAATCCCAGCAATGAAAAAAAACAAACAATAATCCAACAACATAGTGCTATCAGCAAAGATCAGATCCCAGGGAACACAAGTGTTTGATGGAACAAATGCCAGAATTGGACACACCACAAACATAAGCTGTACATGACAAGGAAATCTGTTACACTCAATTCCGTGGAAAATAAAATAGAAATCAACACGAATCAAACTAATGGGATTCATGAAAGCAAACCCCTCCTTTTCCTTAGATGCTAAAAACTTAAATGCTTCTTCACTTAAATGCTAAAATGTACAGAATTAAGCTATTTTTTTCAAAAAATATTTACTAGTTTCAAGGATAACAAATGATAGAAATCAACGACACAAATTTAAACTTAAAGAGCACACACTAAACCCAAGATAGCTAAACTTAAACCACAGCTAATCTGAAACTAATCATTTGAAATGTAGATTAGGAATTAAAAATATTTGAGAAAGAGGAAATATTTTTATATATTTCAGCAAGAAAACCTGTAGATAGTTAAACGACTATAAAATGGTAGCATCAAAAGCACTGGTTTTGGAAAAGCATGTAATATCTATACAGATTTTACCAAGATGTTATTTTCTTCCAGACAATGGCAAGTTCAACTAGCAGATTAGTTATTAAACGAGCCTTAAATTCAAAATGAAAAAATAAGCTAAGCACAGTAACAAAAAGATAATGAGTATAAGCCTGCTAAATGCGATGGAAACACAGCCTATAAACTGTGTAAGAAAAACAAACAATTTTGGTCTAAAACTTTTGCAAAAAAGAAAAGAAATAAAATCAACCTTAATGTACTTTAACAGTACTCTTAAGAGGCACAATATATCAATTCTCATAACTGACCTCTTAGACAAAGTTCTTGCAAAAGAATTACCTTTAAAGGGGGGGGGGGAACGATTTGAAACGCAGAGAAGATATCCTTCATCATCAACTGAATTCTTACAGTTTAAGATTAGGGATTCAAAGAAGACATAATAGGTAATATTTATTAATTACTATTGCGAGAAAAATACATACCTATAAGCTCTTCGCACTGGTCTATATCCACTAAAGAAAGGCCTTGCTGCTCGACCTCGAAATCGACCCCGAGGAGGTCTATTGGTAGAACTGATGCCAGGTCTATTAGTACGTTTAGGCAGTACCTATAACAAAAGATTAAACGGTAAACATTAATTCAATCACAAACTAGTCTAGTAGAACCAGCATACCATTTCAATTACAGAATATAAGAGAATGCTTAAAAATAAACAGAACTGGTACACAACTAAACTAAAGGCATAAATTTATTAATATAAGATTTTTCATATTTATCAATGGCAACACAATACCAATTCATTTATTATTATATTATATTACAAAATATTCCCTGCGGCAGAAATTTTCTTGAGCTTTTGGCGATAAAACCTCTCTAGCACTAATATCTTTCTGCAAGATACTTTTAATAATAATTAATATACACGTTATTAATTAAATTTTAAGTAACAGAAACATTGTATTTACAAAGAAAAGCCTATTTGGATATAATTAAATTGTGTGTATTTTTTTAATGAATATATAATTTGTTTTTTTCATGGGAGATATTCTCACATTTTGTAAGAGGAAAACACACTAATTATTTCTTTTTTCGCTTTTCGTAAATCATCATCAAATAAAAAATAATAACAATTAAAAATCGTAAGATCAGTGAAAGAAAAGAAAACCAAATTTTTTTATTCTTCCCAAAAGGGAATGAAAAAAAAAACGAGCATTTCTTCCTCTCTGATGTTTGAAATAGGTATCTCTCGCGTATAATTGTGGAGGGGGAAAAAATCTTTAAAACATTTCTGCAGAAAAGAAATTTTTTGCTTCAATATTCTTTATTTTTCATTCTTCTCAAATTAGAATCGAAAAATTATGAAAATTTCTTTCCCCTCCGATGAGCGAAAAAGGCATCCTTTAAATATAATTTTAGAGGAAAAAAATTTCGAAAATTTTTGCAGAAAAGAAAACAAAATTTTTTACTTTCTAAAGTAAAATTCTTTCTGCAAGAATTCTGTAACGTTCTGCGACAATGTCGCCGTGATTCTGCCAAAGGGTAAATATCTGACCTATTTATAAGAATGTGTGAAGGATAATTTTAACAAATTCTTTTTCTACAAAACAATCTTGAGTATTTAATTCAAAAACTTGTAAAGCTCATTTAATCGACTCAACTAAATATGTATAAAAAAAAATACTAACTTTTATTTGTCTTCCTCGAAACAAAGATTCATCAAGAGCAGTCGATGTAGATACTGAGTCTTTATCTGCAAATTCAATATATGCAAATCTAGAAAAAAAAGTTACTTTCATAATTAATTCTGTCAACAACAGAAAATGTTTTCACTGTAAAGATAGAATAATTAATAAGATCAAATTACTATTTAAATGTTTATCATAACTATTCATTATTTTAAAAATGCAATTTCTTTCAAATACAAATTAAAAGAAAAGGACACAAAATATTCTTAACAAATGCACACATTTACAGTTACTCTTGGGAAGAAAAAAAAAAAAAAAAGAAGAAAGAAAACGCCAAATTTGTGGTTGTAAAACTAAAAAAATTGGAATAAACAATAAGTGTGAGTATAGGCTGTAACAGAATATCACTAAACGCTGTTTATAGTTTAATTTGAACATCAAATAGAGATGCCAACTTGGTATTGACATAGTGTATGCAAAATTTTATATTTAAAATAGATATGAACAGTTACAGGATAATAAATTGTTGTATTGCAACAAACAGCTAAGCTAAGCCCTACACATCTATTCTTAAAATTTCTGAATACAAGGCCCGAAAAATCTAATATTCTCACTACATTGCACATGTCATCACTATATACGATTTTAAAATAATTAACAACGATGGTTGTAGCAATAAAACAAAATATTGAGTAAATACTGAGAATACACTAAAGCAAAAAACAGAAAGATCCTAATTTAAATCTTTCTTAATTTCAGTAAAATGAACATACCCTCAACTAAATTCAGACAAAAAACATAATTTAACAAAATAACAAAAAATAAATAAGAATGTTCCCTTGACTAGTTACTCTGAGAAATCCGAAATCTCAGCTTTCAATCTAGATTTTGTAGATTTAAAATTCTGAGCAATATGATTATTATATCAGACAAAAATATGCAGCATGATAATTTTAATAGAAAAAAATTGGAAAATCATAAAAAAATGAATATATAAATGTGTGTAAGCTAAATAATAAAACGGATTTTGATCAAATTGCAACTAACACAAATGTCTAAATAATTATCCAAATAAAAACTATACATACCCTTTAGGATGTCCAGTAAATTTGTCACATTGAATAGTTACTCTATTGATAGAACCACAACCATGAAAATGAGCCTCCAACTCCTCTGCGGTAGCTCCATAATCAACCTAAAATTTAAAATGTAAAAAAATATATTGATAGACAAGAAAAATGAATGCAGCTAATAAGAATTTTAATGGGAAAAAAAACTTACATTGCCAACATATATTGATCTAGAATCAATCTCCATTTTTTCTTCAATACTCAAAGCAGTTAAACCTATAAAAAAAAATATCCTTCAAAATAAAACTTACAACAAATAATCGTATTTTTAAAAATATTGTATTGTGGGACATATCATAAAACAGAAAAAATTATTAAGAGGATATAAACGGAAAAAAGTTTAAAGTAATAAGATCTTTCATTTATTCTCCCATCAACACATTTTATTTCCAAAAATTATTATTCCATTTTGTTCATAAAAATTATGCAAACATGAAATTAGATTTAATCATGCTTAAAAAATTATTAATGTAAAAAATTATCATATAAAATATTATTATTATAAAAAATCTAGGGACTAAAACGGCTATCATAACCATGAATAAATATTTTGAGCAATTAACATTAAATTAAATCTAATATTCTCAGTTAAAAAGAAAAATTTTTACAAAAAGATAATTCCTTTTCCAGATATTAGTAGAGCACATTCAATTACTGATTTTTTTAAAGAATATTTCAGTCTGGAATTTATATATATATATTATAAATATAAATAATAGAAATTCATTTGGGATAGTGGTTCCTCATTCTTAAAAATAATGAATTACAGACAAGTTTTTTTCCTTTTTGCTAAACAGTTTTGATACTCGATTACGAATTCTCTTCATGCTAATTTCTTAAAAAAATACTTAAGAATAAATATCCTACACTAGCATGTTACGGATAGCTTAGCTTTTAACCAGGATTTATTGATTAAAATCCAAGATTTAACTCAACACAATAGATTTTTTTTAAAAAAAGGAATCATAGATTTAAATTTTACAAAGCATTATAATATATTTTTAATAATTTTCATCAACTTAAAATTTATTGTAAATATATATATATCCCCCGCTATAGTGAAAGCGCTATAGTCAAACCCCGCTATAGTGAACCTTCAAGGGACCGAAATTTCGGTTCACTATATCCGTTACGCAGGCAATTTACCTAATGGCTCTCAAACTCCTCCCTTTTATTACACATTATTCAAATATATGACTGAAAAATATTAAGTAGCAGTAAAAAACTGTGTTATTTTTCATTATTCTACGTCTTGCATGCAAAAAAAAAAAAAAAAAAAGTAATCTTTAGCTGATGAGCAATCCTCAACATCAGATATGGAAACACTTCCTGACTCTCAGGAAATTTTTTATGAATTTCTGTTATTTCGCTTTTTAAACCTGTCTAACCTGCCATTCGAGCACATAAAAGTAGTCTCATAAAATTGTTTTTCAAATTCATCGACATTTGTTCAGATACTGGAAGATTGCTGCTTTTTCGAATGCTAACCACTTCAGTAATGCTTCTTAAACATCCTTGTGATCTGCTTTTCTCAACTTTTTTCTACCATCTAAATTTTTTTCATGAGCAGAAATTATTAATTACCTATTTTTCCATATGTTACAAACTGCAGATTTGGATAGTTCTTATTCAGCAAATATCAGCTGGATTGCATCCATTTTCAATTTTTCCGATTATGCCCATTTTATCATCAATGGAGAACGTTTACTGCTCGCCATAGTTAAATTTGAGACACTTGCTTGCAGACTTTTTTTTAACTGAACTGAGAGCAAAAAGGAGTTGAAATGAGGTCCTTATCGACACATATTAGTGTCCAATCCTTTGACCAATAATGAATAATTACTCATTCCCTCTGACAGAAAATGCATATTGAGCCCACTGACACCTTGCAGGTGCATAATCTGCCTGGGTTGGAAACATCTGCTTGGTTTGTTTAGGGATGGGAAAGTGAGACGAAAGAAGCAAACAAGAAAAAATGCTTACCGCTGCATTCCCCTCTATAGATGGTTTTAAAAATCGGTATTTGTAGTTATTTTGAACTAGAAAAAATTATTCACAAAAAAAAATGTAGAAAAAAAATCAGTCAAAGACAGGAAAAAGTTCATTATATCCAACTTCCTCACTTTGTTGGTTCTCTATATCCACAAAAAAAATAACATTATACGTGTATAGCAAGGTACGGGACTGAACTTTTCGTTCACTATATCCGGGAGTTCACTATAGCGGAGTTTGACTGTATATATATATATATATGTANAAATTTTAATATGAGTACTTGGCGTGCAATAAAAAGCACTTTTGAAATATATATACTATTATAGAAATTATTTTTCCTTTAAATAAATGGGTAGATTAGGTTATTCTAAATCAAAATATTTGTTAACCTGAATATAAAGGTAAGGAATAAAGCACCATATACTTTATCTTTACATATATTAATAAATAAATGTAAAATTAAATTTATTGTTTGCTTGTTAACCTGTTTTTCAATAACTAATTATAATACATTTCTATTTCATTTAAAAAAAATGCATTTACATTACATACACTATATTTTACTTAAAACTATTTCTAAGTAATTTGTTTGAAATATATTGTCATGATTTGTTTAATATTTAAATTATAAATATTTATAAAATTAATTACTTACTAACTATATTTTTTAATATCTTTTAAAAAATAAATATTATATATATATTTTAAAAAATCTGATTTAATAACATAAATTGCCATTTTATAGTTATTTTTCCACTTATAATATTATGCTAACAAATAAATGTAGCAAGAACTCACTTAGCTTGATCTTTTCTTTTTATATTAAAATTAAAAATAAGTAAGCATTAACTATTATACCGGGAGTACTATGAGCCATTTTTTCAACTTCATTTTGCATTTGTTTGATTTTCTCAGCCTCTTCTTCCATTTCCTTTACTCTTGCTTTGATCATTTCTAAATCCTGTAATAAGTAAAAAACATTTTATTACTAAATATAAGAACACACATTCAAGCGGATAAGTTGGCTATAAAAACTGACAGGTTTAAGCTAGACATTTAAAATTTAAACTTGTCTCTCAAAAAATTATTTACACTAGAATTAGTAGGTGACACATGTGTTTGTTAACTGATTTGTCAGAAATTATTTTACAGTAACAATCTTTAAAAGCAAACCCTTTAGAAAATTTTTACAATTAAAAACAATGTAAAGACATCACGAATTGGAGTAAAAGTTTGTTGGAGCTGTTGTACACTTTGTTGGAACCAAGATAACATATATACTAAGATTGCCCATATATAAAGAGATCTTTACTTACTGGATCATCTACCTCATCAGATTGGCCAGTCATATTCAACGAATCACCATTACCAAGTTCTGCTGAAGCTGAGAGCAAATCGCCATTTTCCATGCTTTCATCTGCCATCTCTGAAAGACATACAAATAACTTGAATTAAGTTAATAAATTCATTTGCTCTCCTCTCTTCAAAATTAGGAAATATGAGATTGTATTCTAAAAAATTACAATATCAGTTCACAAAGCTTAATTTAGCTCCAGGATATTTACCCCAGGTTATGGGATAAATATCTAGGTTTTCTCTGGTATTTTATATTGATAAGAGTGCCCACACGGATTTTCCTTTTTTGCAAAGTGGATTTTAATTAAAACTGAATGTACTAGATGTATAACTGTTAATTCAAATGTAAAATAATTGTTAAATAAAAACTTCCTAAACTTGAAGCTAAATTCACATTATATAATACTTAATTAAAAACTTCATTTGTAATTAGGTCTTTTTACTAATGAGTACCATATTCAAAAAATCATTAAATGTTTCATTAAAAAACCTGGTGCATCCACATTATCTGTACCATTGATCTTTATACTGTACAGTAATCAGTACAAGTCACTCACTGAATAGTTAAGGAAAGGGTATTGATTTATTTCTAAATATCTTACACTCAGAATTTTATAACTCACAAACTTAAAGTTAGCTATTTTAAAAAAATTGAGATTAACATTTGACAGTTTTTAACTCATAAGACTTTTTTGAGTGCTATAAATATATATATAGGAAATAATAGTCCACAGTGAAGTTTTTGATCAGGTAATATCTTACTGCTTCAGTTTCTTGGAATTACTTATTTTATAACATATAAAAATCGAATTTGTTTTGAGTGCATACAAATATAACTTAAATTAAAACAAGAATTGAAAGATTTATGCGTATAGAAAAAAACTAAGTATTTTAAACTTTTTTGCATAAGATTTATTTTTATAGTATTTCTTGTTACACCCCGGTAGGTACTGAAGCAATCGAAAAATTGGACAAAAGAGATAGCTAAAGAAGAAAACAGTTTAACTAACATAAGTCTACAATAAAATAACTATCAAATTGCACTCATGCCGATAATATATAAAAATAATGTCATAAATTATCTAAGCGATAATTACTTGACTCCAAAAGATACAACATAGTAGACGGATTTATGCAAAATTATAATGAATAAATATAAAATATTTACCGTAAAACTTTGCGTAAAATCAAGTTAGAGAGAATTAATACAAGATACACATCAATCACAGGAAATATAAATATTAATAAGAAAAAGAATTCCGAAAAGGACTCAGATTAAGTCGTTTACGATTCAGAATATCAATAAATTAAAAATCAAAGTTGAAGTGTTTTCTTTAAAGTCTTGAGCTGGGTCAAAGGCTTGATCAATAGCTACGTAGACGTAGTATAGAGAGGCATTTTCACTGCATGCAGTTCACGCAAACCCGATCACTGTTGAAGGCGAACTGTGAAAAATATTTTCTCACTAAAAAATTACTAAAGTTCTCCTTTTTTCTCAGTGATGATCGGAAGTGCATTAATTTCATTCAATGAGAGTTGAATTTTTACGGTATAACAGCATGGAATCTAATTGGTGAGTTTTTCGCATGAAAGTTTGAAAGTGTATTTCACCAATCAAATTCTCATGATTTCTCGACAGTTATCAGAGGTTCAACAACCTTATTAAAACCGGTGTCTATGGTCATTAATTATCTGAGCTATAATTAATAAGCATAATTAACCGGTCCCTTTATTATGCTAAAAAATCGCGTATTTATAGATGCGAGCGCTACCAAAAAATTTTCGTTTGCGTAAAAGAATTTTTCGCATCAGTGTGAATGAATGAGCGCACTCGATGCGAAGGATCGTGTATAAATTCTTTTTCTTTTTTCAAAATTATTTAGTAGGCGTCTTAGAAAGATTTTCGGACATAGTTGGACATCTCCCACCCAGTATAATTCTTCACATGTTTTGTTTGTCATGAAACTTTCACGAGTGGGGGTATTATCTTCTTGGTGCAGCTATTTAAATGTTCAGTTGTTTAGAAATTTTTTTCCGGAATTCTTGGCTATAGGTGGTGTGACAGGAAAACAAGTACAATCACGCAACCCTAGTTTCAATGGCCTACGACAACCAAAGCACTATATATAATAACTTTTTTTAAATTTTAATCGTAAATTTCCATGCCATTGTAAAATGTGCTCGACTTAGTGCTCGACATTGTAAATGTGCTCGACTTAGCTCGAATATGCTCGACTTAGGAAAAAGTGCAAGGAAAATACTTTTTTTCCTTTCATTTTATTTATCATTCGTTTACCTAAACCCACGAATCGTTCTAATTTCAAAAATGTGAATATGCACAATATTTTGTAAATTGAAAACTTACCTCAGTGTTATTATATTTAATAACTATTTATTTTTAACCTTAAATAGAATTTTTACAGAAATTGCAGAATTTATAAAAATTTTTTAAAATCTAATTTAAATCTTTTTAATTTAATTAATCCTGATACGTTGCTTTATTGTTTTGTATTTTAAAAAATAAAAAACGCCATAATGTTATTAATTGCAATAACCATGTTAAGTGATTTGAATAGCAATTCTTAACCTTTCAGTAACCAGACAATGCAGTAATTACTGCACGCGCACATAAAAATTTAATCTATCACTCGTGCACCTATATGAATGAATCTTTCTTAATTTAATTAATCCTGATTGGTAGCTTTATTGTTTTCTGAATTTAAAACTCACCTTAACTATACTAATTGCAGTTACTATTAGTTTTTAACCTTTATCAGCATATTACTACATTTTTAATATTTAAAAGTTCAACTTTCAGCCCCATTATTAAGTATCATAAGAATATGTTCGACTATACCGCACATGTGAATAAAATTTTTATCTTTTTTAATTTAGTTAATACTGATATGTAGCCTCTTTGATTTGAGTTTCTAAAATTTACCATAATGTTTTGAATTGTAATAAGCATTTATTTTAAACCTTTCACTAAAATTTCACCTCATGTTTAATAATTTAAATTATAATTCTTAATCTTTCAATAAAATGTTGCGATACGATGTTCAAGCACGTGCTCATAATTTAACTCGTAGTCGTTTACCCATATGAATGGATCTTTTTTGATCATATTAATACTCATAAGTAACCTTATTGTTTTTAAGAATTTAACACCTTAATGATATTGATTGCAGTTACTGTTATTATTTTGCTTTTAACAACATATTACTACATTTTCTGCAATTAAATGTACAACTTTCAACCCTATCGTAAAGTATCATAAAAATATGTTCGGCTATACCGCACGTGTGAAAAAAAACTTTATCCTATTTGAATCTCTCTTAATTTAATTAAGCCTGATATGTAGCCTTCTTGTTTTGCGTTTCTAAAATTCACCATAATGTTATGAATTGCAATAGCCATTTATTTTAAACCTTTCGTTATAATTTCACCACATGTTTGATAATTTAAACCACAACTCACAACCTTTAAGGGTTCAATAAAATGTCGCGAGACGATGCTCAAGTACTACACGTGCTCATAATTTAATTTCTCCGTCGTATACCCATATGAATGAATCTTTTTTAATCCTATTAATACTGATATGTAGCCTTATTGTTTTCTGAGTTTAAAATTTACCTTAATGATATTAATTGTAGTTACTATTAATTTTTAACTTTTAACAACAAATTACTAAATTTTTTGCAATTAAAAACACAAATTTCTACCATATTGTAAAACATCATAAGACTATATTCGACTATAATTCTAGCGAATAAAATTTTTATCTTATTTAAATCTTTCTTAATTAAATTAAACCTGACGTGTGCCTCATTGTTTCATGTTTCTAAATAGCAATAATCATTTATTTTTCAACTTTTATAACAATACTTTCACCACTTAAATCACAACTTTAAACCTTTCAGTAAAATGTCATAAAACAATGCTCAAGCAGTTCACGTGCACATAAAAATGTAATTTCTCTCTCGTATCAATATGAATGAATATTTCTTAACTGTATCAGTCCTGATATAAAGCCTAATTGTTCTATGTTTCTCAAATTCATCTTAATGTCATTTTTTTAAAAATCGTACTAAACAGTCTTATTGTTTTATTCTATAATTTGCAATAACTATTTATTTTTAACCTCGTCTTGTAATTTTGACCATATTCCCATAACGTTGACCATATGCTAATATTTTAAAACTTGTAAAATTTTAGAAAAAACTTTTGGAGACTAATGCATGTGCACATAATAGTAAAACAACATATTTCACGATATATTGATATAATTGTTTTTTGCACTAAAATTAAACATCATATTTTAATGTTTGTTGTTGGTCCAACATTAATAAACAAAACTTGTTGGTAGACCATCAAAATAGCCGAACAGCATCTTCTATCATATTTTGATTGTTGTTGTTGGTCCAACAAAAAAAAAACATAACTTGTTGGTTGATCATCATAATGGTAAAACAACATCTGCCATCAAAATATGATGGTTTTTATTGGTCCATCAAAAATCAAGCATAACTTCATGATTTACCATCATAACACAAAAGCAACAACAGGCCATCAAAAATTGTTGGACCATCACAAATCTTACTGAAATCAGCAAACCATCAAAATCCTTTGATGGCACCATCACGAATTTTGTCTTGGGAACAGCTTCGTTTAAAACATTATAACTTCGCCATCGCTGAAAAATGTTCTTTTTTTGTGAATGGTAAATAAATGCTATAGTTTATATACTCTAGTTAAAAACGAGTTCAGAGTTATTGTTACCTGTCAAATTAATTCAATATTTTGAAATGCGGCATGTCTCTGCAGAAACCACTCGCGTGCAAGCTTTATTGCATATTACGACAATTTATTAGAATGCCGAACATTAATTTTTAATAAGGAACTTTCATTAATACCTCACACAAATACATTCTAGGTGTATAATGATTTGAATGTATATATTTATAACCCATGTAAAAAAGTTTACACGCCTGAGACTAGATGAAAAATCCGCCAATCACCGTCGGTATTTTACAAAGCGCCGGGCTAATTGAGAAAGTTTCAAGTATTTAGTAATTTCTAAGCCGACTTTAAAGAGCCCAATTACCTTTAGGCTAATCAGAGAAATTTCAATCTATTTCCCGATTAGCCCGATTTATTTTAAACCATTTGTAATGAGCCTTCATCAGTGAAGGTTTATAGCAATAAGCCGAATGAAGTAAATGCTTATTAAAAAAATCAAATAAAAAAGTTTTTCTTAAGAAAAATAAATAACTAGCTTCAGAGAACGCGTCTTATTGCAATAACCAGCTGATTTAGTAATTCTTCACATATTTTCTAATTAGCTTAAACCCACATGGGGTGACTGTAATCAGTCTAAAATTTTTCAGGCTAAATAAAAAATTTCAATTAGCCTCATAGCATTTCAAAAGTATGTCGAGATTTGTAAGGATCCCGATTTCCCCGTTAGCCTAGATTCTGCACTCTAGGTATCACAAACTGAATTTATATTAAGGGAAAAACGCTGTTGAAATAACATATCATTATTGAGGAAGGCGGGATTGAAATATCAATACCTGTTTTACTTTTGCATAAAACAGTGAAGAAATTGCGAGACATCTATTATCTCCAAGCGACATCAGTCAATCAAATTGGCTTCAATTATTTTTAAAAATTCACACTTTCCTTATCAGTGATTCGACTTATATTGCTAATGCTTTTATTTCTTCTGCCCTAAATTTATATGCACTTCCATATGAATACATATTTTTGACCAAATTTATAAAAATATTAAGCGTGGGAATTACGGAACATTTTGTATAGAAATATGTTCAAACATAAGCATGCGTTAATTTTAAAACTATGTTTACCAAATGCTGAAAGCAGAGTTATATAACTGTGAAAAAAAATTTTTTGTTGAAGAAAATTGAAGAATAACAGTCATATATTTAAAATTTCATTTATTGTATTTAGCACAAATAAATAATTTTTATATCACAACTCAACTTTTTTCTGTTGAAAAAGAAAATCTTCATTTCTTCTTATGGAGAAATATGATGGAAACATTAGAAAAAAATTATTTCGTTAAAAACATTTTTTTTTAGCGTACAGGGAAATTAAATATACAAGCATACAAAAATATTTAAATACAAAGTGATATGTTTTCCACAGGATACACCATAAATAATTTACATTTTATATACAAGTATGTACAAATATAAGATTTCTTTCAATTTTATCAATAAAAAGTTCTTAAAATCAGCTTGATTGTAATTATAACTGTACATAAAATTTCTTTATATTTCTTTTTTTTTTTTGAAATTTCATTTGTGTAACATCCCAAATTGGTGGGTTGTGTACTGAATCAATGTTAATTCCGTTTTTTTTCTCCTTTTGTCAGTAGAACTAATGATGAAGAAACTCGTTTTGCCTTGGATAAATATTACAACGGAGGAAGCCAGATTAAAAACTCGGATGGAAACTTCTAGATGGATAGCATGAGGAATCTAAAATAGGGTTTCGGTTTCAACTCACTTTCAACAGACATTTGTCTATGTGTCGCTTTACTTCTCCAATTCTTTCTTGAAGACGTTTTGATACTTCTTCGCTATTTTTAATGGGCGAGAACAGAGGTTCCAATTGTTGAACTAAATGCAACAAATTTTGACCAGCATTTTTGGAATCATTCAACCAACGTATCCTTTCCACGGTCTTTCTTCTGAACAAACAAATAGTATTGAGCATTTGCTTATGAAAAGTAAGAAATCGTCCATCCTGCCCAGCAGGTCCATACAGTAAGGAATAACTGTCTAAAAGTCCACTCTCATTGTCTATGAGCCACAATGCTCCAGAGATTTTAGAACGAACCAAGTTATGGATGGTCTCATTTAAAATGGAAGACTTGTTTTCTTTGTCAGCAGCATCCTGCATACTAGCAACTCTGGAAATATGAAAAACATAAAATTAGAAAGACATTTCCTTCTGTTCCATTGTACAGGGATTGCCATTTATATATGTTTTTAAAATCCTTGCAAAAAATTAAGTAAAAAAATAAACAAAGAGCTCGAAGAGTGAGAGGTTACAAATATCAACCAAATCACTAGCGAGAAAGGCTTGGTGAAAACACTGTAACCAGTTTAAATGTCTTATCAGACTTTAGGTGTTTAACATTTATCTGTTTCTTGGGACAATCAAGCGGGTTTCTGATGTTTTCAGTCCAATCTTAGTTTGGGGATTACTTCGCTTAAATCATAATTTGCTTTCCCTAATGTGTAGACTAATTTAACATTGATTTTGACAAGTGTTCTGAAAATATGCATTAAGGGTGGTCATTACAGAACATCAAGATGATAAAAAAAGGAAATTTAAAGAAAATTTGACCAATCATTTTTATTGCAAAGTTTACTTGTGTCTTTTTCTATTTAAGATGAAGTGATCAATGTTATTTTTAAAAAAAATGGAATTATTTAATAATCAGATATACCAGCTACAGAAAATAGAAACAAATGTTGAAAAATGTTTATTCGTTGATAATCTTTTAAACATTATCAGGACTTGAAAAAAAAAATCGACAGCACAATAAATATGTCGATGTACGACTGCTTTTTGGAAGTAGCAGGCTCTTTTCTATAATTAATTCTTTTTTTCACTTTATCAAACATTTGCAGGTTTCAAAATATAAAATTTAAAAAAAAATTTTTTTGCTTAAAGAAAATTTTAAAACATTTATCTACATCAAAAAACGCATTATTAAACTTTAAACTAAATTTTTAACTAAACTAATTTTTTCTTTGTTTAAAAAAATTCCAATAATAACATTTTAAAAACAACAAATAAATAAATAATATCTCTGAATAAAATTCAAATCAGATTTTTTACCTGTCATAATTCCCGGTGATATAATCAAATATGATCAAGTCACTCCATTGAAGAAGTTCCACAAGTTGTTTAGCAGTCAGTGTCAGCAAGCTTCCGTAATTCGCCGAAACTGCTTTTTGACGGACCAAAGATGAAAGTAACAGTTTAGGTAACTTATCTCTGAAATAATAATAATGTCAATCAACATCCAAATAAATTTCTTTCAGAAACCTATAAACAATGTAGTATTAATAATAATTGAATTGCTTTAATTAAATGAATTTACCCAATTGAAAAAACAATACTTGCTATTACTTAATATTTTGTGTGTATTAACTACAGAATTTAATTTATATGTAAAAAATATAATAGCTAAATGTTATTTTTTCAAGCATAAACTAAATGGGAAATTTTAGGAACAATGAATTTTTATTTTATTTTATAACCATCGTTAATCTTTATAACTTAATCCTTATAACTTTGGTTTTACAACTACTTATGTTCAACTCCGTAGCTTTGAAATTTTGAACCCAATCCAGAAGACAAGCGAACTCCTGAATCAAGAATTGGGAGAAATTTACCTCCGTGGAAGACTTTTTGATGGAACTAACCTGCATTTGCGTTCCATGGAGAGGAAAACCTCGAAAACTTCCCGTGGTTAGTCTGACGGCAAGGGGACTCTAACCTATGATCTCACTGAGTATATTTCACGTCAGCACTGTGGTCGATGGAAGCCGGATGCGGAATTCACATTGACCAGACATTGCTGGGATTCGAACCCGGTTCACCATTACGGCTAAGGATCAATTAGTTGCCATTTAAAGCCAAATTATCAGAGAACAATTTCCACAGTTATTTTATGTCAATCAGCATGACAGATAACCTTAAATTGGAATGAGCATTGTTCAAAACAATCAATAAAGTTCATAGAAATCAAAGTTTATTACTCTTTAAATGTGATGTTTTCGGTAATAAAGGCATAATTCAGAAATATCAAAAAAGTTTATATGAATTATGGTTCATTATTTTCAAATATGTAGTTTTGGTAATTTTAATGATACGAGTGTCATAATCCCGTGCAAATATTTTAAATGCTGCTATCACTTTGAATGGCTATACCTCATTGCGTCATTTAAAAAAGCTACTTAAGTTTTTCATTAGTGTTTTAAAAATCAAGATTCGATGGTATTTGTTATTGTAAATGGAGTTATTATAGCAAAATGAGATATATTTGAATTTTTCACATCGCAAAAACTTGTCAACCTACTTCATTCAATCGTAAACTGCGATTTTCATCAGGAGAAATGCATTGTTTAAGTAAAATTTTGAGTACTTAAAAATTTCGATTGCTCTTCTGAAATGAAAACTGAAAAAATTTGGGATCATATTTTTGAAATTGCCAGCAACCCTCGTATTTTAAGCAATTTGTGCAAAATCAGAATTCGGCAGCTTAAGTTCGGTCGAAGAAAAATCAAGTTTATTAAGAGAAATAATTACTTTGTGATAGAATTCATAACTTTATCAGTAAGTAGTACTAATTAATAAGTATGTTTGAAATATTAGAAATCCTTAAAATTGCATTTTACAGAACTAGAAAATCCAATCATTAATAGTGTACCCTAATACCTTTTGGGAATACAGATATTCAGGGTGCTACCTTTTTTCTTGCCTCACTACAAGCAGAAATGCTTAATTTTCTTATTTTGCCATGGCATTATTGAGCATCAAACTTAAGATTTCATAATCCTCGTTCAATTTATCATAAAGGAAATCATTAGATTGATTAAAGTTTCGTAAATTAATGAAAAATTAGAAATAAACTAACAAACGAACGTGTAAGTAGTTATCCACACACTTACAAAAAATAAAATAAATAAATAAAAAAATAAAAGTTAGGTTCCAATATTTATAAATTAAGACAGAACTAACTAGCAGGGATCTGATTATAAAAAGTTTTAATGCTCCAGTTTCGCTCCCAGATAATAAACTAAGCTCCTCTTAACTTCTGACAATTTTACTATATATTTATGCATGATTTTGAATCTTAGATTTTAATAACATAATCATCAGCTTCCCCAGAAGTTATCTATCTCAAAAAAGAAAAAAACCCCTACAAGTTATGTAATTAAAATGAATAATGATTTAATTGAAATGAAGATATAATTAAAATGCTAATTAATGACATTTTCATTAAATAGTATTTTAATTACAAATATAAATTTCAAATAAAAGAATGATTAGTAAGTCATAATTATTAGATATTAGAATAAAAATAAATAATGCATAACACAATTTGAAACAAAATTAACTAAAATATGTCAGCTTGACACAAATTATCTGTATTTGTAGAAACATCCAAAAATTTAAAGAATAAAATCATTCTTTTTTTATTACAGTAGGGAAACGATTATCCGGAACGATCGGGACCATCGCTATTCCGGATAACTGATTTTTCCGGTTTTCTGAATCGTTACAAAAAGCCGTTTTTTTATTGTTAAACCCAACTAAAAAAAAATATTTATATTTGGAAATAATCTTAGAAAGAAGGAAAAACGATGAAGTAATACACTAATGATTGTTTCCAAAATGATGGTAAGGTAAACATCTTTCAAAAATAAAATAAAAATCCTAGAATCTTATGAGGAAAAAAAAAAATTTTTTTTTTTTTAAAATGGTGGGAAAATTTATTGAATTTCGTTCCGGTTTTTTGGTTTTCCGGTTTTCTGATTTCCGGATAANAATATTTGGAAATAATCTTAGAAAGAAGAAAAAACGATGAAGTAATACACTAATGATTGTTTCCAAAATGATAGTAAGGTAAACATCTTTCAAAAATAAAAGAAAAATCCTAGAATCTTATGAGGAGAAATTTTTTTTTTTTTTAAAATGGTGGGAAAATTTATCGAATTTCGTTCCGGTTTCTTGGTTTTCCGGTTTTCTGATTTCCGGATAATGGGTTCTGTACTGTATATACTTTTAACGTAAAAAATTCTAAAGACTAAAAAAAAGAAAAATATTTAAAATACTATTAAAAAACTAAAAGAGTCTTGTAGCATGGGACTTTAAGGGCCAACAAATATGCATCACATTTTTTTGGGCCACCCACCCTGTTCAAACGTCTTTTTCCCGTTTTTTTCTTCCTTAGATCTTCGGCTCCCTGCTAATTACCATTATCAACAAAGTTACTGTAGTTAAAATGTAAAATATATGATTGTTTACCTTTCGAGATCATCTATCCACTGAATAAGGGCAACAGTTGTGTTTGTTTCCCACTTAGAAGCTATTAGATTTGTTTTCACACTATCTCTGCTCCATTGGCCTTTGAAATCCTCTTTAACGGCCGAAAGGGCCACAATAGGAATATTAGTTATTCCAAGTAACCGGGCTAAGTAAAATGAAAGTATTTCACCTGAAAAGAGGAATATAATATTCAATAACTAGGCTATTCACTGTATCATTAAAAATGAAAGAAAAAAAAATTCATGCAAGGTGTTCTGTAATGACTGTCCTTCATATATACTTTTTTTAATTACAGCAAATCATGAAAAAGCAAGCTCATGAGACTTTATATTCAATCGAGAAAGAACCGACATGCTTTTAAATTCTGGCCAATCACCTTTGAAGTCATGAAGAGCAACGATGGGATCATAGTAATTTAATGCTAGTTTATATGAGAATAGTTATTAAAGGCCATTGTTAACGAAAGGTGAATGCATAACAGTTCAACTAGAGAGATGATCTCAACCCTTTCTAACCCTGAGCTAGGATGCACTAATGAAATTTTACTTAAATATTAATCAACAAACCTAAATGTGCAAGTTTATTTCGTTTTATAAGGATTCTAAGAGATATATATTAAAGGTGATCATTATTGAACACCTTATGCATACATTTTTTCACAATTTTAAGTTTAATTATTTTTTAGAAGACAACATATTTCATATTTTAATAAATTGTACTCAAGAAAATATAAATCAGATTGATCCCTAACTTTTGTTTCATTTTTGAGCTGAACTGACTAAACAAAATTTAGTAAAGGCAAGGAGACAAGTGCCTGCTTATCTAGAAGGAAAAGTTTATTTTTTTGTGAAAAAATATTACTTGCATTACAAATTAATAAACCAAATAAAGTTTGAATATATCATTGCATCAGGGAATTATAGTACAACTGCTTGGGAAAATTTAGCTTTATTCCTGGAACTAAATACTTTTCATGTAAATAATACTTATAAGTGTAGATTTCATAAAAGCAGCCAGATTATAAGAAATTAATATATTTTAGAAAAATATTTCTCAGAATTAGGTAAAGCCAATTAATATATTTATCTTATTTTATATTTGGCGTTGAATAGCCGACTCAATTTGAGTTTACCAACTCTGTAGCGTTTTAATTTTGAATCCAACCTACAAGACAAGGAAACTTATGTATCACGTATCAGGACAAACTAGCTTCCATTTTCGTTACATGGAGTAGAAAACCACGAAAATCCTTCACAGTTAGCCCACTGACAAGGATTCTAATTTATGATCCATCTAATCCAATATTTTAAGTCAGCACTGGGGTTAGTTGGGGCCGGAAGATGAATTGTCTCAACCAACCACCTCTGGGAATAGAACCTGGGCCACCTCACTGGAAGACGAACGCTCTATTTCAAAAGCCACAGCGACTCAATTAATACTATTAGACAGTTTAAAAAAAGTAATTTAATTGTCATGTACGAAAAAAGTTATATTCCCTTAAATAGTAATATTCTAGCATGATGAACGCTTTTCAGTTTCATTCAATAAATGAACGAGTTTTGATGTCTTTAATTTTATCTCTGCTATTATTGACCTTGACAATACTTCGCCAGAAATTGATAACCTTTTTGTCGTACTTAGATAATAATTGAAACTTCAAACATGCAAAATGTAATATTCAAATTTTTGACAAGTAATCTAAAAATGTATGCAAAAGGCAGTGATTATAAGTATAAAATACTACACAAAATTAATTTTGACCAAAATATCAACATGAAATTTTTAATAATTAAATTAAATCATCAATAAACCAATTAAATTCTCAAGAAAAATATCGAAATCAAACCAAGGTTGATAAACTATTTTAGAAAAGTCCTTCAATAGCTTAATTAACTGCTTTAGTCCTAGAATAAAACAATTAAATCTCAGATGCTTGTGACGCGAATTAAAAGAGCGTGAAATGCTTTTTTTGAAATAAATTTCAATAAAGAAAATCTCAGCACTTATGAAAAATCACAGCATTGAAGATGTTAAAAGATGTTCTGAAATATTTGTAACACACCTTTAAAACAAATTAGAACTTTTAAAATAACAAGTAGGCAATATTTTATTTTTGAGAACTGTTATAATTTTGATTAAAAATTACTTAAATACCTTGAACTAAATACTGATGAGGCGAACGATATCGCGCACAAGCTTTGGAATTGTCTTCAAACACAACGTACTGGTTCTTCGGCCTACCGCAACGATTCCAAGTGGGAGGCTCAACTCTCCTTACCTGAGATGTTCGCAATTTTTGTAAAATTGCTTGGGCCTCCGAATCATCATAACCTGCAATAAAAGAATAATGTTTCAATACATAATAGGATATTAATTGCACGCATGTTAAATTATGGATAGGAAAATTATATATTCAGTTAGATTAAATGAATGACCGACTTTAAAATGTTCACATTTTCGAAACTTTTACTCATATTACAATAAATGTTACCCGGAATTTAAAAAAAAAAAAAAAAAAAGATTTTTTTTTTGTCAAAATTGTTAAAATTTTTTGACACGACATAGATCGCATCAGTAATTCAGTTCGTTTCGCATATTTTGTAGTTCCTTATACGACACAAACGAGTTCTGTCAAGTTTTTGCAGCGTTTTTGGCAACTGTGGCTCATAAACAGTATTTTTGACCAAACATCATTCAAAGAAATCATATTGCTTAAGGTTCTCTTAATAGTCATGTGATTAAAGGTAAATTGTTGTAATCCACACGCCCAAGATGCAGTTTATGAACTGAAGCCTACACATGTGGAACGAACTTAATTACACATTTTACTTTATTTGTGTATGTATGGCGTACTTTATTTTATAAGCGACGCTGCACATCTGATTGAATAATGAGTTTACAACTATCATTGTTCAACTTCGTAGCCTTGTAATTTTTAACACAATGCAGAAAACAATGGAACTCCTGGATCAATATATCGAGATAAATTAGCCTCAATGGAGGATTTTTTGATGCAACTAACCCACATTTGCGTTAAATGGCGTGGAAAACCACGAAAATCACCAACGTTTAGCCCAGCGGCATGAAGATTCTAACCTATGCTCCACCTACCACTGAGGATATTTTATGTCAGTACTCTGGTTGGTGCGAACCGGGAGCAGATTTCGAATAGACCAGCTAACGCTGGGATCGAATCTGGGTTACCTCATTGAGAGGCGAATATTCTAGTCATCTCGAATCACAGATTAAATTGATGTAGTTTAACAAAAGAGTTTGCATTAAATAAACAACGTAATACAGTCGACGCTCGATATCACGATCCCTGTGGTCCAAACAAAACCAGGCGCAATAACGTGAAGATACAAAACTAGAGTAAATATTTTTCTATGATTCATAAATACTGCACTTGTTTTGAGAAAGATATGCTATACATTGGAAATAATTTTGAAACTGATAGTATAAATAACATTAAAACACTTTTTTTTACTTCAAAGTGTAAATATTAATGTAATACATTAAAGGTTAACAAATAAATTAAATTTTTTTCAAATGGTATCTTTCAAATTCAAATGGATTCAAATTGTATCTTTCTAGATATATAATTTTTATAAAATCATTAGTGCTTTTTCTAAATTTTTAATTTTTCTTTCACGAAAACAATTATTTTGATTGAAATTTAAACACCTTGCTCTCCTGTCTTCAGAATTACTTCACGATTTTTATAATTATTGAAACACAGTGCTGTCCAGGATTTTGAATATTTTAAGCGGTTTGTGATTTTAATGTCAATATTCTCTCCTCTTTCCTCAAAATTTTAAATTTCTGTTCTAAGCATACAGCGTTAATCTGTTTACGAGCAGCCATTTCCGCTTTGAATTAATTATACGGTCAGAAAAACCGGAGAATCTAAGCAAAATTAAAATCCAGAATACTTATTTTAGCAATAAATAAACCACATTTTACAACACTTCACAAAAAAAAAAAAAACAATTTTCAAACAAGGAAAATATGATTGATGAATTTATTGTACCCCTTCAAATGAAATTTACAAAGGTTATGAATATATGCAGGAAACTTCCAAGGTGTACCACGAGGAAGATGCAATATACTCATATACATGCAATATACGTTTTTACTCATATATATGCAATATACGTTTATTACATTAGAATGAACGATTCAAATCCGGTTGATAAAACAATATGGTGTCTATAGTTGGAAGAGCAAACGGGACTTCAAGTATCGGTCGTTATGAAGGGTCACAGTAGTGGGGTACTAAAGACCGTAGACCAGGGATGGCGAACCAATAGCACGCGTGCCATTTATGGCACGCGACACAATATTTAGGGCACGCCTCCGATCACAATTGTTATTGCACTATGAATTGTTATTACACAAATGTTACACAAATGTTATTACACTATGAAGCATATGTAACAATTAAATTAAAATTCACAGAAAAACAAAAACAAAATAATAAACAATTATGAATAAAAAAATTAACAATTTATGCTAAAAAAACAATTAATAACCATAAAAACAAGCTAACAATAAATAACCAGCAAAAAAATCATCAGTCCTGCTTAAACTAATATCTTACAACCTAATATAAGTTATTGGTCATCTAATCTGCAACAACAGAAGTCCCACTGGTGTTACTTTAAGTTGAATCACGGGTATAACTGAGACATTGCAAAATGTATTTTCTTTTCAATGTGAATAAAGAGTTTTGAGTTGATAGTATTTAGTATTATTATTTTCCCAATAATCATGAAGTCAAAATTATTTGACGGCACGCACGTCTGTGACTTCATTAAACAATTTTTTTAGAAAAAATGGCACGTTGGTGTATAAAGGTTCGCCACCCCTGCCGTAGACTGTATATATTTTTTATTACTCACTGTAATATATGTAGCAGTTCGATATTTAAAATCGAGTCATGTTTTTGCTAATCCTGTAATTATGATCGGCATTGTCAAGATCATATCTTGCTTGTGCAAAATCTAGAGATATAAAAATTTGCAGAGATAAATTTCCTAGCTGTAAGGATTAAAACCAGTCTCTCTAGAAAGAAATACAATATGAGCCGAAAGCTTTGATGGTATCCAGATTCAGTAATGGATTTTGAGTGGAAGACGAGGAGCGGCAGAAAATATTTACTCTAAGGAAGCTTTCAAGAAGTTACAAGTTACTGATAATTAATCAGACAAGGAACAGATTCTACTTCGCTATGAAATATTGGAAGAAACTGGAAGCGCCAACAAGGTGATTAGCCCCAGGGAAAGTATTGCGTTATGGGCCTCAGGGTGAGACGAACTTAAGACACTAAGTAAGACAATGCTCTTAATTTTACCTCTCTCAATTTTCTTCTCTATTTGAAGTAACGATGCAAAGGGTTTTGTATCAGATAGAAATAAGAGTTAATCTAGCAAATTAATATTCGAATAGAATTTTTTCCCGAATAGCTACGAATAAATACACTTTTCGTATGCAGTTAAAACTAATATAGATAGATATCCCAGGCTGCAAAAAATTTTGGTGCTGCCATTTTTGGTGCTTGAGATAAGCTAATTACATTTTTAACTACAGGACTATAGTGATCTTGCAAAAAATTAAATAAAATTTGCGAAAAATTGTTTGAAGAAATTGGTGAGTCTATATTACTGGAAATGTGCTTGTTTTTTAAATGTTTTATGACAATGAAGCGGCAAATTGATCGTAATGTGTATAAAGATATGTGTTGTCAGTAAATAAACAAACAAACAAAAAAAGAATAAATAAATGAATAAGACTATAACAGCGAAAAAACAACAACAAAAAAAGTGTGACTACATGCAATGTAAAGACTTTTAGTTTACCGCAACAAAAAAAAAAATGGTGGCAACCATATACCAATATTTTTCAAAGTTAGCAAACACTTCGTTAAATTAAGAAAATTTCTATTTTCCCTTATTCGAGGATGCGAACTACGCAAAAGCATAAATTAGAATTCATGCTACGTATCGGTTAATACAATTGAATAAGAAATACAACATAAAATAAATGAAGTATGAGTAGTTTGTCATAGCCAAGAGTTAAACCTAAGAAACCTGCTTGCCAAGCAAGTGCACCAAACCTTGCACAACAAGTGGGTGGTTTTAATATCAGATGAAAACAGCTACAGAATATTTAAAGTAACGAAGTGAAACGATTTTCAAAAATAACTTAAGAATAACGAAATAAAAGAAATTCAAAAGGATTGTTGAGTAGACAATATAAGTCTCATTTTGGAGAGCGAGTATTTTAATTACATGCATTCATCTACACAATTTATTTTGTTCTTACTGAAAATATCCCAACAACTTAAAATTTTCCTAAAAATAGATCGGATTCTATCGGAATTGAAAGCAGAAGGTGAAATAAACGGTTTTTGCATGCGAGTGTTCATTTGAAAATTTCTAAATGCATAATGATATACAGGGTAACAAAAAANTTGGAAGAAACTGGAAGCGTCAACAAGGTGATTAGCCCCGGGGAAAGTATTGCGTTATGGGCCTCAGGGTGAAACGAACTTAAGACACTAAGTAAGACAATGCTCCTAATTTTACGTTTCTCAATTTTCTTCTTTACTTTGAAGTAACGGATGTAAAGGGTTTTATATCAGATAGAAATAAGAGTCAATCTCGCAAATTAATATTCGAATAGAATTTTTTCCCGAGTAGCTACGAATAAATACACTTTTCGTATGCAGTTAAGATTATTATAGATAGATATCACATTATATATAGATATAGATAGATAAATTTTGGTGCGTAGTTGCCGCCATTTTTTGCTCTGAGATAAACTAGTAATTACATTTTTAACTACTACAGGACTAAAGTGATCTTGCAAAAAATTTAATAAAATATGCAAAATAACAATCGTTTGAAAGAATTAGTGCGACTATATTACTGGAAATGTGCTTGTTTTTTTAATGAAATGTTTTATGGCAATGAAGCTTCAAATTGATCCTAATGTGTACTAAGTTATGCGTTGTCAGTAATTAAAGAAGAAAAAAAAAGAATAAATAAATGAATAAAACTATAACAATGAAAAAACAACACAAATGTGACTGTAAAAACTTTTAGTTTACCTCAGCACCAAAAATGGTTGCAAACATATACCATCATTTTTGAAAGCTAGAGAACACTTCGTTAAATAAAGAAATTTTTTATTTTCCCTTACTTGAGGATAGGTACTACGTAAAAGCATAAAATAAAATTAATGCTACGTATCGGTTAATACAATTGAATAAGAAATACAACATAAAATAAAAGAAGTATGAGTAGTTTGTTATAGCCAAGAGTTTAACCTAAGAAACCTGCTTGCCCAGCAAGTGCACCAAACCTTGCAAAACAGTGGGTGTTTTAATATTAGATGAAAACAGCTACAGGATATTTAGAGTGTACAGGGATGACACACGAATCAAAAAGAAATTAAGTCAAATTTTAGAAAAATCATGCGATTTCGAAGTGAAACGATTTTCAAAAATTACTTAAGAATAACGAAATAAAAGAAATTCAAACGGGTTGTTGAGTAGACAATAAACGTTTCATATTGGAGAGCGAATATTTTAATTACATGCATTCATATACACAATTTATTTTGTTCTTACAGAAAATATCCAACAACTTAAAATTTTCCTAAAAATACATCGGATTCTATCAGAATTGAAAGTAGATGTTGAAATAAGCGGTTTCTGCAAGCGAGTGTTCATTTGAAAATTTCTAAATGCATAATGATATATAACTAATATAAGAACTTTTGCTAAAAAATGTCAGTGTTTATCAAGCTTTAAAGCACACAGAACATTTACTATTAGTCTATAAAACACGAAATGAATTTACGGTTATTTATGTACATATATTTTTCCCTTGTTATAAATTCAAAAATCTGGTTAGAGGCTTTTTCTCCTTATTACTATACTATTATTATACATAAAATAAAAATAATAAAATAAATAAAGTAAGAGGTTATGCAAATTTTACGTACCTTTGGGAGTTTCTTTCTCAAGCTCTTCTGACCAATATATTCTATCTTCAACTATTGGAACGCCTTCTATATTAATAAGAGTAATGTTTCTAATTTTTTGTCTATTCCTACTATGATAATGTATTGATAAGTTTGTAGGTTTATTAGGACTAGAATGATAAGAGACTCTTGAAATAGCACTTTCAGATTTTAAGGAGTTTGCATATTCGTCATACATTTGAAGAATAATACTAAAGTTTGAATGTATGGCATAGCGTTCCGTTTCGTTGTAATCAAAATCACCATCTTCGAAGACTTTATTTTCAGACAAATCTTCGTAGTCTTCACTATCATCTCCATCATTTTCATAAATATCTATTTCATTGTCAAGCTCGTCATCGATATCGCTTGTATTTTCATTCTTCGCGTTAGAATTTGATTGTACCAAGCGAGCTCTGAAGAAAGCGTCTTTGCTGTAACTGAATCTCGCTGCACTCAAAATGAAATTGTGAGGTTTTGATGAAACTGGCGTATCATCAACAGCTTGGACTACTCTAGTTCGTTTTACGTGATAGGGATGAAATTCTTGTAAGGAAACAGATACTTGAATGCATTTCTGGGGTCGACTTAAGAAAATCAAGAACGAAAAAATGGTCATGAAAATGATAGTGAAAGCAAACACCCGGAACAATTGTGCCTGAAAAATACAATCCTCTTTTAGAATTCATTTTTTAAATGTGATTTTATATCAGATAAAAATACTATTTTTTGGAAAATCAGACTGAAATACTAATAAATAAAAGGTTTACAAATAGGTGATGGATTATAAGGTTATGATATATCATAGTAAAACGATTGGAACTTGTGTTGCCTTTTAGCAAGAGCTGCAGATAAAATGTGGCTTATAATAGTTATTCAAAAACAGCAAAAGTTTTGGCAGACGATAAATTCCTTTACAATATAATAAGGTGATACATTTTTCTTTGCTTGAAGCATTTAGAACGATTGAAATTTGCACTAACTTCACGTGAAACTCGTCAAGAGGACGCTGTGCCGAGGGAAAAACTTCGCACTGCAAATCCTGTTCCACCTCCATTGGCATTTTAAAATTTAAAGTTAAGAGAAAAATTAGTTTAGTTAAACCTAGAGTAATTCATGACGTTTAAAAAAACGTTTTCAAAATGCCAAAATGCAAACAAATTATTGCAGCATAACTTTCCTAAAAGTAATAGTAATCCCAAGTAATTGAGACAAATTCTAAGTAATCCTCCCAAAATTTGTTTGCATTTTGATACTTCGAAACAATTCTTTTAGCAATTGAAATTTTATGGCTTATTCTAGGTTTACCAGAACTAAATTATTGTTATTTATTTTAAAATTCAAATTACTTATTCAGGTGAAAGAGAATTTAAAATAAAGTGTTTCTCTCTCGGCATATCGTTCTCCTAAAATCTGCCTGCTCTAGTTAGTCCGAAATAAGGCCGAAATTTTGATTCCAGATTTAATCCTCACGAATAAGAACGCTAGTTTTCAAAAGCTTTATAAAATACTGTGATCAATGTAATCCAAATGCTCGTATTAACATACCTTTTGTGTAGCTTAACTCAAAAAATAATAACTAAAAATAAGTAAATAGGTTAATAAAAAATGACAAAAGTCAATGTGCTATTCTGTCTGTCTTTTTGACTAATTTCATCACCTTTTGGTAAGTCTTCTTTCATTCCAAAAATAGTCTAAATAATGAAAAAAAAATTTTTTTTTTTTCAAATGTCTTACTTTATGAACCATTTTGAGCACTTTGTTCAGTTCTTGTGCGGGAACTTCCAAATACAATGGAGCGGCCCTTTCATCATCTTCAACTGTCATCTCTTGTCAAGTTGAGGAAGATGCATTTCCTGTAAAAGAAAGAAAAACAATAATTAAGCGTCCGTTCCCTCTTAATGGTCTCAGTTATTACCCAAACCAATTCTGTTTCATCTCAAATAAAGAAAAGAAAAATTGACTCAAGATTCAAAGAAGTTTTTTTCCCTATAGCTTCTCCTTTTACGACGTGATACACATTCAAGATGATACACAGTCATGTTCATTCGTGATACATATTCATGTTTATATAGCTAACAATATTTTTTTTAATTATTTTTGACTTATAAGCAAAATTAGCAAAGTTAGGTACAAGTAATGTACTTATATGAATTTTCCACTTTTCGCAGAAAATTAATTTTTTGCATTTTCATTTATCTTTTCTAAAGATAGTTAGCTACATTTTTGAAGATATTTTGGATGAATTAATATCTAACACAAATACTTATTTAAAAATAGTCAATAAATTTGATTCTTATCAGTTACTTTCAAAACACAAATTTTTTTAAAACTTTATGGTTAAAATAAATGATGGTTCTAAAAAGCATTTTACGTTAAAAAGTTACTGAACACTGAGTTACAATACTTTTTACAGTAATTTGATACGAAATGTTTTACAGCGTAGTTTTTAAAAACAGAATAGTTTGAATAGACAAATGCGGGAAAAACATCTGAAGTAATTTTTAAAGAATAATTAATCTTTCATAAGTATTTCAACAACGCATTATCCCTACATTTTAATGATATTACCATTTTGTTACAATTAACGCGGGACATAATGTTACATCTTTGACCTTTTACAACGACAGTTTAAAAGTTAATTAAACAGCAAATGAAAAAACAAAAAAGTGTATGACGTTAATTTTTTGATATTACAACACTCATTTTATGACATTAATTTATTCGTAAATAAGGTTCTTCATCATTACTTATTATTTAGTAGCTGATCCATACAGTGGATATGTGGTTTCGTAACCTTCTAACTGTGAGCCCAACAAGAAGACGAGATAAATCCAAGACAAACTCGCTTATATGAAGGGAGACTATGGTTAGCCAGACGGCTACTAATGGATATTTTTCGCTAAAATATTGGTCGAAAGCAAGTTAAGGTTTTTACGGAAGATGAGCATAAATCAAAATTTTTAAAAGAATCAAGAACTCATATTTCTTACATTATCCTAGCTATAACACTGACTTTCAAGGTTCAATAAATCACGTTTTGGGAGGATATAATGTGTAGAGGGAAAAATACTGTAAATATTTCTATCTTAAATATCCTATGGTGAAACATTTTGATGAAGATTGACATCAACACTTTTAAAAAACCAAAATATAACACTAATTAATATTCTTGAATTAGCAGTGATTAATTGCAACTAAACAACATAATTTATTCGATTTGAATTTTCACAAAAACAAAGATTGCAAAACCTATTATTGGGAGCCACAAACAAGCACTATAACAATTTTTTTCCATCATTAGCAGCAATTTTCAGCCCACTTAAACTTTGAACTACATATTACCCAAACTTTTATTAGCGATCTTTAATTAAATGCACATTAATTATAAGCTTTGTAACCAATAATTTTCTTTTTAGTAATTAATAGCGGACGATTAACATTGGTCTCCCCGCCCCCGTGAAAAGCATTAGGTAATTTATTTTCCATCTTGGTGAAAGTCTAATAAGTAAAAGATAGTGGAAACGATAGCGATATTGCCATTCGTCACTGTCATAAGCTCTTACAAGAAAACTGTAATTTGTTGAACAACTTTCAAGAAAAAGAGATGAAGCATGGAGCTTGACCTTTGGCGCCACACCAGTCTTGAAAACTAAACGTCCTTCGCCAAATTTCAAGTTTTCAGATGAAAGTACTTATATGCAGAAGCCTCAATTCTGCGAAAAGAAGGTGGGAATCCGGTCTTAGGTTAAATGAAACGCCAATCACGTCAAATCAAATGTCACTCAAGCAAAAGAAGAAAAGTTATGCCTATTAAAAACTTAGTACCTCAAACTAAAAATGTAGCAGCAAAAATATTCGTTGTCGATGACTATTTCTTCTTTTCCTTTAATGTAGTGACTGGTGTTCTTTTTTTCCCAATAGTAAAGAAAATAAAAGGCAAAAATTAAAAAAAAGTTTTTTCAACGGTGTCCCTTTTTAGTTAATTTTTTCCCTACTATTTTTCCCAGATATATACTTTACTGGGTTTCGGGATTTTCCACGAGTTAACATCGCAATAAACAGAAAATTTTTACTACCTACTGTTGGAAATCGTGGTGCTTTTCAACATAAATGCTCTTAAAAAAATTCTTTATTAGACAATTTGTAAATATGATTTTATATTGCCCCAAGCTCTTCAAGTATACAAACAAATCTTACATACAGAGTGCACGTTATGAGATAGTCTAGTTCCAAACTATTATCTTCACTATTTAATTAAAAAATAGTAACCTAATAATTAATCATAATTTAATCACTGATCCCTCAATCAAAATGGAATGGGAATGATTATTTTTTTCCACTTATAGTGAAATAGTTGCTGAAAATACAAATAAACTGTCTTTGAGTTTTAAAAGAAAACGTTTTTAATAACAAAATACAATATCCTAAATGTACAAATATACTGAATAAATATTTATAAGTTATAGTCTGATTTTTAGGTTTTGGATATACTGTCTTTCGTCTTATTTGAATAATTTTCAGTTTAGTTTTTGTGTATTGCGAATTTGGAATGTAATGAAAATGATGATATGTTGATTCCCTTATATGATGTGCGTAAGTAATGTAATAAAAAGTAAAAATTTTCTATTCAATTAAGTGATAACTTTTAAAAATATGGTCATTAAACGAACATTTATGCCACTAGATGAACATTTTATTCCATTCGATCTTTTTTCTTCTATTTTTGTACACTTTCGCGAGAAGAATATGAGGTTGTAATAATTCATTAAATAAGTAGACCCTGAATGTGTAAATAATTATTTAGATTACTAGATTATAGACCCAATAAAATTAATTTATTTTGTGAATCTGGATGAATACTGGAAAAATATCAATTAAGCAACTGGAGGAAATAAATTAATCTAAGGTATTTGATTTTTAATATTTCTTAAATAATATTTTCCCGTTACACAAATTTAATAATTCGGAATTAAAATTTCTTAATAATATATTAACACTTAAAATATTTCTTAAAAATATTCAATTACAAGAAGGAATAAAAAAGTACAGACAAAATTATGAAAATGTCACAGAACTATTCAATAATTTGTAATTATTAATTTAACATTATTTTTATTTAAAATATAAATTTAAATTTGAATTCTTTACATTGGAAATTAAGTTATAGAAATTTAAATAATATCAACCAAACTCTCTACTAAATATTCTACAATAGTTTTTATCATTTAGAGTTCATAACTTAAAATAACTATGCAACAGCTTATTTTACTTAATTTTTTTTCTCCAATATTTATCCAAATTATTATGTAAGTTTTTTATGAAAACAATGATAAATTTTTAATTTATGAGAAATAAAATCATTTAAATTTTATAAGTATATTTTTTACAGTCAATAATATAGAGAGGGAAATTCTCATATTTTTTTATTAATCAAATATCAATAGTTCTTTAATAACTGATGAATACATCATTTTAAGCAGTAGCAATTATTTTCGTTTCAAACAACGGTGCGTAAAAAGTAAATTAATATAAGTTTAAAATATTTATTTTTCTATTCAAGCAATGCTTAATTTTTGATCCAATAATAGACAGAAGCAAACATAAAAGAAATGTAAAGGCATTTAATTGCTAAAAGCATATAAAAGCAATAAAGCATTTTAAGAGTTAACATCGGCACTCAATTCTCAAAATAATAATAATAAAAATAATGATAATAATAGTAATGATAATAATAATAATAATAAATATAATAATAAAAATAAATATAATAATAAAAATAAATATAATAATAAAAATAAATATAGTATATAATAATAAACATAATAATATTAATACTAAGCATAATAATAATAATATTATTAATACTAAGCATAATAATTATAATAATCAAATACTGATTTTTAATTCTATGATAATTAGTGCATGCATCTCATCAAGAAACTGCAATTATTTTCCTTAGTATTCATAAAATAATACTTAATAAATTATTATAACTTAAAGGCCATTTCTTAAAAAAATACTTTAGATAGATAAATTTCCAATTAACAGAAGGAAAAAAAAATTAAATGGTATCAGCCTATTCATACTAGTCAATATGGAAACAAAATTCTAACTTTTTAATTAATCAAAAATTGACTTTTGAATTCCATTATAATTAGTGAATACAGCCCACTGAGAAGCAGCAAATATTTTCATTCCAGTAAAAGATATAAACAAATAAATTAACATAACGTTAGACCATTTTTAATTATTATGCAATGTTAAATTTTTAATGCAACAGAAGGAAAATCCCTTAAGTGCCAGAAGCATACAATTAAGAATTATTACAAAATTCTCCATTTTTTTATTAACCCAATATCACATTCTACTATATTTGATAAATGTATCAGAATACTAATTCCAAAAATTGTATTACACTTAATTCCAAAAATTGATATTCGGTGTACGTTAACAAATTTCCTGCGCATTTTTTCCTGGAGTAATACCTCTTACTCTTCTAATAGAACAAATGTTTCACTAAATTTCCATTTAATAACCAATTACCAGATTGCGTCAAACAATATTACCTTCCGTTGTTAAAGTCTGTTATTATCGGAAATCCATCTTGATCTGGTCCACTTGTGAACAACGACAAGAATTGAGTTAAGAGGCCCAAGCGATTAGAAGGAGGTGTTCACGATGCTTAACTATCTACTCTCTGATAACATTTGGAAGTGAGGAAGAACGCTTGTGCCTCCTACAAGCTACAAGGGTATAATCCTCCCTATTCCCCCTTTCTTGTACCTACTCTACCCTCCCTCTTTTTGAGAGGTGTGCAACTTCAAATAGAAGAGTCACTTATATATTCCCCTCC